ATTATTTGAATTACTCTAAAACAAAAATGACACTTACGGCTTCACTTTTGAACACTCAAAGACTCTTCACATGACTTGGTTCATTCACTCTGCACACAATAATAAATTAACTGCCCACAGCTGCCCTGGGCCAGTTGGTCAGAAGCGAGGCAATCAGTACCACCACCACCAATCATTCATGGACAAGACTCTTACAAAGCAATGTGGGTGACGTGTCTCGCTGAAGGACACCCCCAACAGCATATTAATTAATCTTTAATGTAATCCTAAATCAGAATACCACTGGAGTATTTGGCCATGATTGTAGTCACTAGTAGCTGTTTATCCAGTGTGTTTAACCCTCTCCTAATTAACAACAATGTAAAAACACATATGCTATTAATGGATCTTATTTAATTCATTTTATATATGATTAATACATTTTATAAAAATCCATCCCTTGGTTTGTACTATGAATATACTGTTTTAATTGTGGAAAATAAATTACTGTAAATATACTATATAAATCATGTTGTAAGTACTGCCTAAAACAAACATGTTTCTCCCTCATCACTATTGTATCAGCTGTCAGTCTGTGTATTCACTTTGTCCAGTCACTTTTTATCATCAAAGCTACAATCTTGTTAACCCTGGAAATGGACAGACTGATTGTATCTGTGAAGCAGCTGCTTTTCCGGAAATCTATTGGTTTTGGGTTTAGCTTGATTAGTGAGTCTAATTGGTAATCCACTTTGGCGTATTTAAAATTAAACTATCCTACATTGTCACTAAAAATCCCTTGTATTGTTCTGCTCTACAACACATTGTCCAGCTGCACTGACCCTTTATGACATCATCCTGCCCACTGCCCGGTGTTATACCATGACAGCGGGTGACATTGGCTTGTCCTATAGCCCTCCTTTGCGTCACACATAGCTCTGCGTGGGGAAGCTTTTGCAGAGGTGTGTCAAGGTTCAGGGTAGTGTTGTCAAAACATGTTTTTGCCTTCTCAGGGGATGGGGGAACTGCTGAACTTTCCATTTCATTCATCAGTGCAAGCGTTGCAGGATTTTTTTTGGATCACAAAGTTGACCAACAGCAGGATGAATTTGGTCATTCTTGGTTTATGTAGACTTAAAGAAGGCTTTGCGTTTTGCTAACATTGTGTGTATGTAGTAATGTATAGGGCAACACAAATACTTTCATTCAAAATTTGGGTAATTTTGAGTGGTTTTTGACTTTTGTATGCACCTGCTGGGCCTAGATATTGTAGCTGTTTTAAGTTGTTTCTACAAATTTGAAGCAAGAATTAAGCAATTAATCAAATGGTGTTTTTATTTCAACATAACTTGCAGCTACACTTCTGCAATGCTTTTTCACCCCCCATCTAGTGGAGGAGTGATGTAACAAAAAATTGAATGCATTGGGTAATCGATGTCTATTTTAGGCAGTGAACCGGATGATTCAAGCCAAGCTCAACAGACCACTATTATACATCTATAAAATTCTGTATTATTGTCATCCGAATGGATGAGTAAATGTATTTCAGTTTATTGTGTGCGTTTTGTTACATAAGCATATTACAGGTTGCCTTTGTTATTCTCTGTTTGATACATCAGTGTGGCCAGGAGGCTCTCATTAAATTAAAATGATACAACAACAACAATTAACTTTCACATTAGCTACAACCTGGTTATCCGAGGAAATTAACTGACTGATTTTATCTGTAGAGCAGCTGCTTTGCTAGCCTGGCCTTAGCCATCTGTACACTCCTTTCAATCATCATTTCACTGCATGTAACGTTTGGATCTGGTCCCTGTGTTAGCGATTACAATCGGTTGAATTTCGACCGACCATTCAGAGAGCGCGGAAGGCGGGTGTTGTAGTTAGTTGTGGGTGATGTCAAGAGTTTGCGTCGAAAGGGCAGGTTGTAGTTTGGCAATGGCAAAGAATGCGATAGTAAAGTAATCCGGTCTGGTTCTATCAAGAAATTGAAGCCGGAGCAAGAGGAATGTTTAGCAAATATAATCGCTGGAAAAAATTGGCGCTACTCCCCACGGGCTCCGTTAGCGGCAAAAGAGATGGCTAAAGCTAAGCTAAATGCTAACGACAGACTCGGGCGCATTACATACTTTACAGTAAACTCGGATCCAATCGTTTCAATCTGCAAAAGGAGTTAACCCCTCCTATCTGTTAACGGAGCTCAATGGAGCACGTCCAGACATTAGTACGAAATGTCATTTGTACTATGGTGTGGTACGACCAGGCTACTGCTTTGCTAGAGGCGGCACGGTGGCTGAGTGGATAGCACTCTCGCCTCTCAGCAAGAAGGTCCTGGGTTCGAATCCCGGTCGGACCAGGGCCTTTCTGAGTGGAGTTTGCATGTTCTCCCCGTGTCTGCGTAGGTTTCCTCCGGGTACTCCGGTTTCCCCTACCACTAAAAATATGTCCAATAGTTCTGGCATGTGCCTCCTGTTCTGGCCCCGCTCCCATCTCTGTGTGGAGTGAGAGACAAATGCCCAAAAAAAATAAATTAACAATTGTAAACCGCTTTGAGACTCAGATTTGCAGTGAAAAGGCGGTATATAAATAAAGATTACTACTACTACTACTACTAGAGAGGAGAGAATATTGAATTGAACCAGACCTTAACAAATGGTCATATGTTAGAAACAATGCTTCTTTTGAGAAATCTTTAAAGGACCACAATTCATTTTAGTCCCAACAGAGTATGTTAGGGTGATTTCTGACTTCAAAAGCAGCAGTGAGATGTCTGTTAACTCGTCAAAACAAGTTTTATCACTTGTTTTGTCATACTTAAATATCATGATGAAATTTTCACCAAGATGCATGTATATTGTGAATAACTTTTTAGGACCCTATTTTGCGAGTGGAAGCTGCTGTGCTTGGTGATCTTTCTCAAGATACAGTATGTGTGCTCCTCATGGGCCTAACACATTATGCCATTCTGCCCAAACAAAGTGACCAGGGACTGGTCAGGCCTGCTCCAGGAATTTCCCAAGTGTCTGCAGCCCTGCCTGTCCGTTTTGTCCACAAATTTTAGATTTTGTAAATTTTATTTACTAGTTTTTTGACTGTTCTAAAAATTGCAACAAAACATATGAAATCATCCTTGAGAAAAAGAAATGTTTCCTTAAGTGCTATGAATAGTGTTTGAAACCAGCAATGCACAGGCTGCCCCTATTGTCTGTGCTCCATCTATTGGCTTCCTGTGGCTTTATGGTCTACAGACTGAGAAACCCTTGTATGCAGGTGTTCAGTGGCATTGGTGTGACAGAGACTATATTTGTCTAGAAGGGCTGGGGCCATTTCCCGGGTTGATCAATCTCAATTTTCAATAAAAAAAAAAATCTTATTGAAATTTGAATTATAGGGGAGAGGGGAATGGACATTAAACTCTAAACTATAGACGCTAAACTCAGAACTATTTAACAACGATTTTGTTTAAGCCAAATTCTACAGGAGGTGAATGAAGACTGGTCAAAGACACAAGCCTGCTGCTGTCCCCCAGTTCTTTCTCCTGAACTCCTGGAGCTCCTCACACTGTTGTTGCTACATGATTGTCATTTGTTAATGTGTATGTTGATAATTGAGTGTGAGCAAAGTTGAGATTGCAACCAAGATTGCAATCGAGAAACAAGTTTTTTTGAAGAAACGAGGGGTCATCATCCAAACTTTGTAGATTTTATGCATGCATTTATAACCCAGAGTTTGTACCGCTACTCCTTCATTTGTCCTCAGCTTTCACTATGTTTGGCTTGAGTATTATGCACAGTACAAAAAGTGGAGTGTTGACTTTCCAGGTAAAGAGCCTAAAAGTCAAAAAAATCCAAGGCGCATCAATATTGTAGTTGAAGTAAAGTGTTCAGCTTCATATCTGTTTGGCCTTTTGTCACTCTCCTCACTGCACAGCTCTAAGTCCCAGCCAGTCTTAAAATACTCATTCAACATTCTGTCGGGTCTCCCATGAGGGCTGCTTGGGTCAAAGATTCTGTCCCAAGGCTTCTCTAACTATTTGGAAATGCATGCATTCTGTTTTGTTTTTGTCATGCAGGACTGTCCCACAGTCTTAAATACTGATTTATTAACCTTCTGTTACTCAAAATCTTTTAATCTCAAGCTAAATATCCATATGGCCTATAGTCACTGAAACTTGCATACATTATTGACTCTTCAACTTTATACCAAATTATGAATTCATAATAATAATAAAAATTACCATTTGTCGTCCTACTCTTTCCTAGTCTTCGTCAAGAAACACCGGCCAAACAGTTAAATTCATACTAACATACTTTGCTTCCCCTTGATGCTTTAGCTACTTAAGGTATTTACCAACAAATCGCTGTCTTCTACAAACATTCAACGCAATTCATCAATGCATAAATATTACATCCATCAAATGTTATTGTGACAGCCACTGTACCCCACAGAAGGTGACACATCTTTAGACCAGGTCTTTCAGTGATCTGTATAAGCTAAAATGTCTTCTAATATGGTATGTCTGATTTGTTCACAAAATCACCATCCCAGCTCTTGAGCAGTGCACAAATGACATGACAGTTGGCGCTACAGTTTGTATCTGTTGAATCACAGCTTAAAATTATTGTTGAAATTACTTTTCCTTAGATCTGATCGAAAGCTTGTATGTGGCACCACTGTTGTCTTTACGGAAACAAAAAATTAATGCCGCACTGAGGTAAATAAAAGGCAAGCAATGACCACCAAAGTTATGTTGTCGAGGTTTGCATCAATAAAATTTAAGCTATCAACAAACTTTTTACATTTTGTTGCACATCTCGCCTTGGTTTGCTGTTACCGGATGTAGAGGGTTCTACACACACAGGATGTTTAAGATGTTGTTACCCCGCTCATGCCATGTGACTTCTATTAAATATTGTATGTTTTACTTGACCTCAAAATGTTCTCTGACAAATTGCAACATTACCACACCGCTAATCCAAACAATTTAACATGTGTTTTAATGTGCTCTTGTCTTTCAGAGCTGGGCATGGCACAGAGAAAGTTTGCTCAGAGTCTGGGAGAGTTTCAGTTTGAGTACATTGGCGACGCAAAGACAGACGACGAAGAGTGCATTGGTTAGTGTGGTTTTACCCTTCTCACATCATAAGCGCAAAAACACTGGCTATGCCACTGCCAAGACTAAACCTTTGCTGTAAATATTTATTTGTGCTTGGTGCCGTCTCCACCAGAGTTCTAAGTGCAGCTTTGGTGATGTCTGCGGTGTGCACATCTGATAATAATAATAGCTTGCCGGCTGTCTGTGTCAACACTGGGACGGCATGATATCATTTATGGCCATATTTGGCTTGTCTTTCTTTTGCAGATAAGTCTTTGCAGGAGTTCTCGTCATTCCTCAAGAACCTGGAAGACCAAAGGGAGCTGATGGTGAGACCAACCTGCTGAGCTTGTGGAAAATACCTGTCGCCATTTACAATAAGGGCATTTGCAATTACTGAGTATTGTTTGTTGCTACTATGTCACACAAACACTTCGAAGTAGAACTCCATAAATATTAAATGTACATGAAATAACAAATATGTTTATACATAAGTAAGTAAAAAAAAAAAAAAAAAAAAAACTAAAGACATTTTTAGACTCGCCAAATTTGAAATGTTGTATATTCACTTCCAGCGAGGTCACTTAAACACACTAGTTTTAGCTCTGGTGACAAGTCTGTCTGTATGTAAAAGGCTGTACAAGGCGCGTCACAACAGTAGAGAAGAGAGGCCTGTGCACAGTGCCTACTGATGTGCACTCATGTGGCACTCGGACACGCAGCAGGTCAGGGATGATACAATAACTGAACTCAGCTTTGTGAATGTGTTTTTAATGAGGCCGACTTCTCAGAGGTTCTTATTTCTCTCCACTCGTCACATGTGTCATTATTTTCTCACACTGGGTTCAGAGCTGAGGCAACCAGAGCAGTGCCCTGCGAGCCCACTTTAACCACAAACAGACACTGACTGTGGTTTGGGCACATGTGACGAGCAGAGGAGAAATAATTCTCTTTTAACTATCTAGTATTCCAAATATGTGAATTATTCCCTGCGATGTGGTTTGTAAATGCTTTAAAGTACAATTCAATATAAAAACATGCTCTTAAATCTTTTTTCATCACAATATTAGGGCTGTAACAAGTGATTTGAATACAAAACAAATCAATTATTAATAGTTAGTTGTAAATAATTTAGCAAGCGATTATTATTCTTTTTAACCTTACATACTTTAACTGGCTGAGAAGAATTTGTATGACTTTTTTCGATAACAACTTCAGAATGTGTGTTGCAAGTCATCTCTATGCAGATGCTCTCCTGGAGCATTACTTGAGCATGAAAATAATCATTAATTACAGCCCTACACAAAAAACACTCGTATTTTGCTGGTGTCGGATAAACTGCTAGTTAATTTCTGGAGTTTAAAACATCCCAACATGCTAAAAAGAGTGAAAGGAAAATGCATAATTGGATGACTTTGAATACCCCAATTGATGCTTTGGACTTTTTAGAATAAATTTCCATTCAACATATCCCCTCATATGGCTTAATCAATGTGCAAACAAATGCTACTTCTACTACGTACCTCTTCTAATCCAAGACAAGTATGCATTTTTTCTATTATAGCACAGGAAAATGTTGTTAACAAGATTACCCTAACAATATAAGGCAGAGAAAACTAGTCAATCCATCAAAAATGTCATTCAAACCATTCATCTTGCTTTGCACAAGGAAACGCATCCTGCTGCTGAAGACGTGTATTAATCATGTCCGGACACTTCCGCCCTCTGCCTGTTTGAGGGTCAGTACGACTTTTGCCCTTTGGGAGTCCCGCACTGCACTTCCACATAACACACGGGCTCTGAATACCAGCAGGGATTACAGAACCAGGAGCCCGCCCCCGCTAATACGCCGAGTCTGTGTCATAAAGCCCCAGATCAGGTCAGAGTGTGGTGGTGTGTGTGAGCGAGCAAGATCATAATAGTAAACCGTGAGCTCACCCACATGCAGCCCAGCCCCATGGAGTGACATCACAGCGCAGAGTAAGCAGATATGAAAGGCAGGCCAAGGCTTGTCTGCTGAGAGGAGCTGGAGAACGAAGACAGATTGGAAAAATGTAAAGCTTTTCAGTCCATTAGAGAGAGAGATTACTATGACATAATCTCAATTCAAGGTGTTTTCTATTATGGTTTACTAGACTGCTTCAGGTATGGCCAGGGCACTAATCCACATGAAAGCGCTAATTACCCTTTGGTTCGCACGTCTCTATGGAGATGTTTTATTTTGACTGGAAGGTTTATCTTTTCAGCGAGGGAGAAAAAAATTTTGCTTTCTTCTTCAAGCAGGCTTTGCCCTCTGCATTATGTATCTGACATGTATTTTGGGCAGCAGAATCTTACTTGATCTTTGGTTTAAATTGTGCAACCATCAACGTTATAGAAAAATACCTAGTAACTGTCTGTTGGGACAGTATACAATATGTGAGGGTCATTGTAATAATTAACTGAATGGCAGAAATTAGCAAAATGGTGCAGTTGATATATATTTGTAGTAGACTGTAGAGAAGCAGATACATAATTTTAAACTACATGAATACTGTGGTCCGTCATTATAACGCGGTCCCCCTTTTGTGGGCAAATTTGTATGCTTTTTTTACAGCGTGCTTTTCATACGCCACACATACTCCAACAACATACTGTACATCATCATTAACCATGCGTATAACACGACAGTTACCTTTTATTAAAGTCAGAAGAAAACTTTTGTGGCTTGTGTGCACCACAGTGATTAGGTCAGAGAACTATCTACCAACTACAACAAACTTGCAAGGAACAGGTTGTGAGTTTGGTTAGAGTGTATTAAGTGTGTGGTGAGGGGTTTTACCGCCTTAAAATGTGTTGCTCCTACTTTGTGGATTTCACTTATTGTGGGTCTAGTTTTAGCACTTAACGCCTGTGGTAAACAAGGTACCACTGTAGAACCGTCTCTGTCTGCTTCATTCCTGACAGTACAATCCATTGTGCAATTCAGTACATGGTTGATGACGGGGAATTTTGAATAAACTTGCTTCTTTTTTGGACAAACAAAACGTTTGGTGCTCACGATGGAACACCAGTCAGGAAACGCCTTATACAATATCAACAAAGCCCATATTAGAAATATTTTGTCATACTCTCTCCTATAGCTTGTAATCTGTTATTGTTCAAAAAGGTTAGGTTTTAAAATGTATTGAGCTACTTCCTATGGTTTGTCTCAGATTGCATAGAAACATATGCTTATATTTTGAATTGTTGGTCCAACCCATGATTTTATCCAGCTGCCATTGCACAACAATAAATGAATGTCTTAGTAAAAGCTAAAGAATGTTGCTGTAAAACATCAAGGGTTTGTGTAAAAAATTAATTTACTCCAGCCAAGAAAATGCTTGCTTTATCTTTTCATATGCACGTAATCTTCTCGACATAGCCAAGAGTCTTTGCACAGGCCTTACAGTAGAACAAACAACATGCATATATATCTATACACTGCAAACACACTGTACACACCCTACAGACAGAGTGTGGTGGAAATGAACATTGGAATCCAAACATGTTATGTAATCTGAAAAATGAATGACTTTAGCTGCATAGAGCCATAATGGAGGCATTGTCTTACTGATGTTTGTTATTTGTTCAGATGAGAAACATCACAGAGACGTTAATGAAGCCCCTGGAGAAGTTCAGGAAAGAGCAGCTCGGAGCAATCAGGGTAATGTACAACTCTTTTATTTCTCTGAACATCAACATTGTACCAAAACAAACCGTTTACAGCAGAATTCGCACCATCCCTGTCCTGTTAGTGTTAGTGGTTAAAGTAGTAGCTATAGCCAACAAATCGTAAACATCACATACTATCTACTGACATTTTCAGAAACTTAACGTAGTTAGATTGTATTAGTGAAAAGTTTTCTAAACTCTATACACCCCAAGCTTCCAAGATTCTAAGATTTGGAATTTATTTAATGTGTGGTTGCTAAAATCCTCATCTTTATCAACAAAATGTTTATGGAAAGTCCATTCTTGTCAGCCTAAGCCTGAAAGCATTTTCGGGACTCAGTTAGTGCCAATTGTTGTGATATTTGAGTCTTATTTTTATTATATTTTTTACCTAAATTGACTTCAAGCTGAGAAGTTTTTCAAAAAAAATTCTTGAGAGAAATTGGCTTTACTACTTGCACAATACTAGTGCTATACATGTTATGCGCACAATCTAAAAATGTGCTCTGAGAAAATCCATCCTCCATTATTGTATATAAAATTTTGTCACATTTTTAAATATAATAATTCTCTTACAGAGCTATTGGTTTTATGTTTTATATATATATTTTGACTCAAACAACCAATAATGTTACATCTAGTCTCTATGAAGTCGCTTTTGGTGTGTTTTGGTAAATAAAACAAAACCCTGTATTCAATGGATTTAAACAACTAGTACATTTTAAAGAATAAGCAGCTACTAATGGACTATGAAAAATAATTATTAATTACAGCTCAATTCATTCATGACACCGCTGTGCAGGCAGGAAAGAAGAAGTACGAGAAGGAAACTGAGAAGTACTACAGCTCTTTGGAGAAACTTTTGAACATGTCAGCGAAAAAGAAAGAGCCTCAGCTGCAAGAGGTAACGGCACCACACACGCACACTGACACGCATACAAACACAAACTCGCAACAACAAAAAGCAACAGATGTGTGACTTATGAAGTGCCCCCTCGCCTTTTCCAACCTGCCCTCCTTTCACTCCGCTCTCTAAGGGTATGAGCGACAAAGCCTTGCGAGATCCAGGCGAGTTTCCACTGACGTAGAAAGCATCGCGCTGCACTTTTCCTGGCTTGTTTGGAGAGGAAATGTGTGCTCACTCGCTCTGCTTTACCAAGGTCAACACTGGTGGCTGTTAGCCGTTGGAACATCCCATGCCGCTGTAATATAAATTATGGTGGCCTTAAATCACAGAGGGATAAAACAAGCTCTCATTGTCTCTGGCCCGAGCTGGATTCCTGTTTGATTTCCGTGTAAGGCTTGGGAGCACATATGTTACAGACAGCGGCACACTCCCCACTGTTGCCACTGTCGTCAAGGGCTGTTCTGTTCCTTCAACCTATGCTGCAGAATCTATTGTCAGCTTCTTAAATATACAGACACTTCTCTATAGTATTACCAGTGTCAAGACATAATGAACCAGTTGTTTCAACAGGCTTGCAACAAAAATCATGCATGTTTTTATATCCCAGTTTGAATGGAATTTTTGTTTTTGTTTTGTGAAACATAAAGTGTCTTTGTAGTTCCGCCCAGCGCACTGAGGTTTGCGGTCTGAGACGAGACTTATAACCCGAAGAGACTGGCTTCCAACTCTGGCTGTTCCCAAGTTGTGGAACACAGTCTTTCTCTACCTATTGTGGAGTATTTTAAGTCGTCCTAAGGCCCACTTTTATTTGGACTTCCTACTAGTGAGTGCTTTTGTTTTCTCCCTGTATCATCCCTGTAATGTATTATATTGAGACGTATTATATAGACAAACTTCAGCAGTGCCATCTTTCCATAAAAAGAGCTTGTATCACACAAGCGCACTAAACGGGTAAGAGTGGACAGTACCAAGTTTGTGGTGAGTTCACCACAATTCCTGACACAGCGCTTGTCTTTTGAAGCGGAAAGCCGCATGGTCAGACGCTCGTCGGCCCAAAATATGACCCACGCATATTTTTGCCTTTTTCTTTCAGTCATAATACACATTGCACAATTAAAATGGGTTTGTGTTTACGCCATTAACACGTTTAACTGACAGCACTAGTTAGCATGTCGGAGTGCGTCTGTCTGTATGTGTACAAAATATGTGTATTTTCTTTATGTATTTCATGTGTCTGTCTGAAACTAAAATATAGAAAACACCCTAAAAATACTTTGGCACCTAAAGGGTTAACACAAAACTAGTTATATTTATTCCATCAATGCTTAAACTCTGCTTAATATGGCCTTGACTTCAATCTAAAACAAATTTAATTTCCGCTTCATAAAGAAGAATTATTCTGCTTCATAAATCTAGCATGCAAAGACGTAGTAGTAATGGCGCTGAGCCATGTCCCTGTCAGTGAGTCTTAAAACGTGGCTTTGGTTGATTCACTACAGAGGCCTCTAAAGACGGTGTCCTCCTCAAAGAACACAAACTAAAACAGAGGACAGGAAGAGCGCACATTTACTGAACCATATTTAAACTCTGGGTCAAACACTCACCCACACATACGTCTCCTGAATGACCACGAAACGTCTGCTTTTCCTTTAGTTGTATTGGTCTTGCCAAATGAGCTATAAAGGAATCAAGTCAAGGAAGTGTTCACTCCTTTGCATCGGCCGGATTCCCCTTTTTCTCTGTAATACCTAGTTTTCTAATCAATTTTGGTCAACATATTTGATATTTTCTGGTATGTTTTTCTGAAAAAAATTAAAACGGTTATATTAGGAATGAACCAAAATATGCGGCATGGTGGGGCAGCGGTTGGGGGCTTGTGCTTCCCAGCCAGAAGGTCCAGTTCTTCGAGTTCCCCTCAATGAATGATGACTATTAAGAATACTGTGTTCTGCAGGCTGACGTCCAGGTGGAGCAGATGAGAGGACATTTTCAGGAGGAATCCCTGGACTATATTAGCAAACTGCAGGAGATCCAGGAGAGGAAAAAGTTTGAATGTGTAGAGCCGGTAAGACGATGCTTGCTGAATAATACTCAGTAACACAGGAAATCTAATGCTCCATAAAGTAACCCGCATTGTAACGGACAAATCAATGTTTATTATTGATACAAGTTTCTCTTTTTGTTTCAGTGGTTATGATTAACGTCCTTATCTGGCTTTGCTTTCTTTTTGTAGATGCTGGCGTTCTTTCAAACAGTCTTCACATTTTATCACCAAGGTTTTGAGCTCGCCAAGGACTTTGACCATTATAAACGAGAACTGCAAATAAATATTCAAAATGTAAGGAACACCTCAAAATATCTGCTAATCTGAGGACAATACAACTTCATAAAGTTTACACAGGACATGTGTGAAAAGTGGACTTATTGGTGTGTAACAGTAATCTCTGCTCTAAGCTATTAACCCAACCCAGTCATACATCTGCTCTCCTCATTTTAACAATACTTTGATGTACTATAATAAAATTGTATTTTGATAATGTTGTTAAATTTCCCTTTATAGTATAAATGTTCATCTTCTGATTTGTAGTTGGTCAAAGAAATTCTTGACTAAAGCCATGCCTTGTCTATCGATCAAAAAAATCTGAATACCAAAATCTTCAGATGATTTCATTCATGGAGTGTCATTTTTGCAGATGTTTATATATAGTATAAAATAAATGTTTTTAATGTGCTGGATGAAAAATAGAGAACCACCTTCACTCACTGAAAAAGCTGGATGGATTGAATTACATTATATTTTGTGGTTTCAAAGTTAGGTACTCTAGCTTTAAGAGCTACTTTCACAATTTGAAATGGTCCCAGTCTCACTCAAGCCAAATTAATCTGGCTTTTTGGTGTCTTTTTTTTTCCTGCAAATCAGATTGCATTTAGGATTTCAGCTATCAGTTGACCACAGTTGTATTGTGTTGTAAGATAGAATAATCAAGAAAGTGTTTGGCCTCGATTTGGTAGACTACATAAACAGAGCATTATCAAATCAATAATCTCTCACTTTTTGTTAAGGGGGTACAGCCCACATACCAATGACTCTGGCTGACTGTCTCGTGTCCTCTCCCCTAGACAAGAAGTCGCTTCGAGGGCACAAGGTCGGAGGTCAATGAACTGATGAAGAGGATCAGAGACGCGCAACTGGAGTTCAGGCAGACCAGCCCCATCAGCTGTGAAGGCTACCTCTACGTGCAGGAGAAACGTAAGCACTCTTATGGTGCTTTCAGACCGGATCTGCTTTAAATGCAAAGTCAATGGTGACCCGCGTTCCAGCGTCAATACGCACGGACCTCTCGGCACACACGTACGGACCGCTCAGTAGAGACGCACGGATTTGGCGGGAAAGTGAAAAGGGAGGAGCAGGAGCGGAAAATGGACGCCCACAGGAGATGGATTCTGCTCATCCTTTCCTTGGGATGTTCATGCGACAACCAATCAGAGAGCAGCAAAGTGGTCACGGGGACATTAGCGGACTGAGCGAGCAGACTGAAAATACTCGTAAACAGCCAAAACAGGACCCACACCAGGCTTCACCAGAACTCAAACCAGGGTTGACAATGGGGGACTCTGTGCTTGTGAAAATATGCGTTGTCATGCTCCCGTGACCTTATGCAACGGCTTCGAGTGTGTTCGCCAATGCGGAAATACCGTTTAATAATACAAAAAATGTATGGCGCACCTCCATGAACACATACTACGGTTATATAAAGTCCGTGGAAGGTCTCTGAACAAAGACACGCTGCAAAGCTGCATATTGGAGAAGAAAGAAGCCGCTAGCTAATCTCTGTTAGCATCATAGCCTGTCGGCTACTTCCGGCACTTCCGGCGCTGGCCAGGACATTCTGGTGTGAAGACCCCTGCGTCTGAAAAGTAGAGAATGCGCGTCTGGTGAGCGGGGCTTCAGCGTTTTAGCGTTTGCGGTCTGAATGCACCGTTAGGCCTCACATTAAACAATATATCTTTTTTAGATTTGACTAGGCGATGGCAGATTTAATTTTTTTTTATCTGCAAAGAAACATTGATACTGCTTGATATATTCTTGTTTTCTAATTATTTTGACATGATTTGAAACTTGTCTAGATTTTTTGTGAGAGAATGTTCACCTGTGCTGGGATGTTATTGCCGCAGTGTATTTCAGTATGTTAAAGAGGAAGTAGATTAGTTGTGGTTTGCAGCAGAAATGCAGTTTTCAAAGAGTTCTGCTGAAACATGAGGTCGCTGAGATCATGAGATTGTTTCTTTTACATACAGATTGATTTTAAATGATTGTGTATTGATTTTAACTGATATTTGAACTAAAATATTATGCTTTTTTGGCCATTAGGATAACAAAGGAAATAGACTCTTTTCTTCATAATTTCACATTTATTATGTGAAATATTGTATTTAGGGGCGACATTGGCTCACTTGGTAGAACATTGGCCTTTGAGCCTAAAGGTTGTGAGTTCGAGCCCTGGCCAAGGCCCTCTCCACTGATGTCTTCTGCCATTGTGTCCTTGGGCAAGACACTTAACCCCACTCTGCCTGAAGCCCCCGTTGAAAGATCAAGGCAAAGCCATCCTCCTGTGGACTCACCACCTGTAGGAGGATCAGTGAGAGGCTGGTGCTGTATATTTTGGGTGCAGCTCGGAATTAAGGGGAAGAACATTTACAACATTTACGTCACGGATTTACGTGACTGTAAAGGTTTAAAAATGCTCTCCATCTGTATCTCCCTGCGCTTCCACCAGAAAAGGAGTTGAATGTAGTTTTTTTTCTAAATTTGATTACTGGCTCCGAACACAGCCACGTAATTGTTTCACTTGAGAAATTTCCAAAACTAATTTAAGAGCAATGAGTATGATGTCATAGTAGTACAATGACATGATTACATTACAGGAGCTTTTAGACAAAAGGGGTGGAGTTTGTGGGAGAAGTTTCTCTCATCATTGTGGATGGATCTAAAAACAACTGTTTTTGTCATTTTTCCCCCACATAATACTGTATGTCTCCATTTATAAAACTAAAGCGTTTTCTTACTTAGATTTGAAAACTGCAACCGTTTTCCTAATTACTCATCTTCCCTTGCAAATATCACAACAGGCCAACATACCACAATCGATTAACTCACATTTCATTCTTACCAAAATGTGTGCACTCCACTTCAAATGATCCACATATCATATTGACTTGAAACAAAACCCTGAAATAAGCAACATTGAACCAGGAAACCAGGATTGTCTTGAATGGAGGAGAGAAACATAACTCAAAAATGTAAAAATAAATGAAAGATTATGACATTGGGCTCAGGCTAGTGGCCCAAGCTAGTGCAAATTGTACGCTATGTCGAATGTCCACCATGCTTTCCACCCAACACTGTCATGCAAAACTTGTGAGCCGTATGCAAAATAAATAGGAAAATTAAATAAGAGTTATTGTTTGATTTCTTTGTGACGGTTGTGTTGCCATGTCAAAATGGTTTGTCACATCCTGATTTTGCAATACTGGACAACACATGCTTGAAATCTATTAAATGGGGAAATATAACTACAAGGACAAATATTGTTACAACCCAATTCCCTAACTCAAAATACAAACAATGGATTTATGTTGCCACAGGTACTAAAGAGCTATGTGGAGGCAAGAGAGTGTTTGGGATGGTATCTTGTCTGAGTGTGTGTGTGTGTGTTTGTGTGTGTGCTTTGAATTGTGTTCTATGAAAGTTTAGAAACAAATAATTGTTTACTGTTTGGCTTTTTCTATTTTAAGGCTGTGTATTGATTTTGTCTTTTGCTGTTCATTCAAGTGATTTTTACAAAAAAATACCATACTGTTTAAACAATGTTAATTGACTTCTGTAATTCAACTTACACCTTGAAACTAATATGACATCTTAATTTTGATTTTGATTATTTATTTTTTACCTTGTTTTAGGGCCACCTCCGTTTGGGTCAAGCTGGGTCAAGCGCTACTGCACGTTCGTCAAAGAGCAGAAGATTCTGCACATGGTGACGTTTGACCACCGCTCTGGAGGGAAAATCGTAAGCCCAGAGCCACATCTTCAATGGGACTTACTTTACCAACTCGATATTAAAATGTTGTAATTGTGCTTTTAGGGCGAGACTGAATCTGTCACCCTGAAATCCTGTGTGCGCAAAACCACAGACATGTTGGACAAGAGGTTCTGCCTGGAGCTGGACATTACAGACCGGTACAGCACACAGTGGACGAAGTAGAAGAGAGGAAGGGAATAAAAGCCGTAGATCAATTGTGATTCTTGTTTCATAGAGAAACATTGTAGTATTACCAGGAGTAGATGAAAAGTCTTGTGGTGTGCTATCCAAAAGCAGTCATGTTGCATATATAAGGAATATTTAATTTAGACTGTATATACAATACAGTCTAAATTAAATATTCCTTATATATGCAACATGACTGCTTTTAGGCAGTGACAAGTTAATTGATTAATCGCAACTCATCAATTCTTGAAATGGTATATGATTTATCGTTTTTCAATCCTTACATAGACAGAAACATGCAGAGAAGATTTTTTTTTTTATTAATGTGTAAAAATATGTTCTGTCAGGTAAATATTTTTTTGCTACGTAACTCAATGTTTCTGGTTTTAAAGTTACCAGCTTTAAGGGTGTACTTTACACAGTAAGTAAACTTTACTTACTTACTTATTTGTATAGCGCCTTTCACAGACCAGGATCACAAAGCGCTTCACATTTAAAACATACAGAAAAAATTATTAACATACAAATGGACATAGACACAGGCCTATGAGCAGTGAGGCGAGAAAGCCTGACTCAACAAATACGTCTTAAGTTGGGACTTAAAATCATCAACAGATTCTAACATATGCAGAGACTGAGGAAGCCCATTCCAAAGATGAGGAGCAACTGCCTGGAAGGATCTGTCTCCTCTGGTTTTAAAACGAGTGCGGGGGACCATCAACAGGGACTGAGTGGAGGACCTCAGGCTCCTGTTGGAGACATAGGGATGGATCAGGCCCTGGATGTATTCAGGCGCCTGACCATGAAGAGCCCTGAATGTCAACACCAGAATTTTAAAATTGATTCTGTGTGAGACAGGGAGCCAGTGTAAGGACTTCAAAATAGGAGTAATGTGGGCTCTCCTGTGGGTGCGGGTCAAAAGCCTTGCAGCAGAGTTTTGAACAATTTGTGAACGAGCCAGATCTTTATTACTATGACATGTAAGCAGGCTGTTACAATAGTCCAATCGCGAGGAAACAAAAGCGTGGACAATCATCTCCAGCTCCTGACCAGAGACCATATGTCTTTGCTTGGAGATGTTGCGCAAGTGGAAGTTACAGTTTCTGATCAGCTGTTTGGTATAAAGTTCTAGGGAGGCAGTTGTATTCAAATGATGCACCCCAAAAAATTCTTGCATAGCCCTAAATCAAAGCTGTAGTTATCTTGGAATACTTAACAAAATTGCTGAATTTGCCAACACAGATCAGAGAATGAAAGAAGCAAGTTTAATCCTTATAAAATAAAATGAGTGTTAGCATAGAGAAAAAGAGGGAATTGGGGACATGACAAAAGGTCATGTGTGGCTTTGGAATTCAAATATCTTGAAATGGCTCAATAGAGAATTCCTCTTCCAAAATGTGGAGTCTACATATCCACATTACGGGATTACCAGGCACATCTTGTTTTTCAAGAAAGCGCAAGTAACATTATATCAACATGAACGCCCAACACGTTCATGTTGATATTTCATTACAGTGTATAAGAGTATAACATGTTTTCTTACACACTATAGCTGAAAAATAGCATGGTGGAAAGAAAGTGAATTCCTACAGTCACCAGTGCACACTTTGTCCAACTCCGGAGAAGTTGCGTGTCACATGGACAGTTGACATTTCAGTGACACAGCTCCTCAGGACCAGTGCGTGTGCTCTAAACAAAATACCACTGCTCTGTTTGTTGTAGCAGCAGGCATACCCTCAGCCACCCTGCACCTATTGTTTACTTTTCTACATTTTTGCATTATAACAATCAGACCATCACTTAAAAACAGAACCTGGGGCAGAGTTTATGTCACTCTTGTAAAAGACGTCTAAATTTACCACACGACTCTGGCTGCCGACTTTTCTTCTTTATTAATAGAGGTGTGATCGGTCACATTTAGAGCGGGCATTTCAGACATGGCTTCCCGCTCGGATCACGATTTGCAAAGTCAATGGGTATCCAGACTCTGAAACCCAAGCAGCCCCAACCGCATTCATAACTCAGGATGTCACAATTTTGCCACTATTTTCAAATTTGTGGATATTGAACCGCAACATTGTTAATGCTCTTGATTTTCCCATGACTAACCGTTACATTTTGGTTTCCATCTTCATTCCTCTTCAGTGGTGTAATTATGTTCATTAGAGCAAACAAAAACATGAATAAGAAACTCAACTAGTTTTTGTATTACAACTACTCTAACTTACAACTAGTTTTCTTCTTCCTACTCTCTTTCAGGTAACTATTTTGGTTTATTTATTATCATTTTTTTTTTTCCCACTTAAGCATGTTAGCAAAACTTTATTTATTTTGGATGGAAACTATGATGGGCAAGAGGTGACGTGTGCCCAATGTGAAATGCCTGAAAGGAATAAATAAACAAATTAAATGTACCGGTTCTTAAAATAAGCAAGTAATAAAAAACTAAATATAACCAATTCCAATGTATTTTTACAAATGGGATTAAAAAAAATATAGATTACATGGAAAATAAATTGGTTTTTTTCCCTACAATTATGACCGATTAGTATTTTTCAGTTTGTTCTATGAATGCAAATTATCCTTACACCCCTATGTATGAGTCAAGGTTTGGACCTGATAATACTCCTTATTAGAAAAAAATGAAATGGACAGAAATTGAAATGCCTTTATTATTAAAATTGTGTCCTGATGACTCATTTGACGTCTTATACAATGTCTCATCTCTCATTTGTTCAGGAGTGACCCAAAGTAGATTATTTTATGGGGGCATTTCCACAAGTCAATTTCAGAATATTTCCATAAAGCTGGAGTACCTAACTTTAAAACCACAAAAAAAACATACTTCAAAAATGTTGCTTCTGTCACTAGTTTTTACCTTTACTCTCATTTTTACTGGAAAAGTAAAAAGTAAAACTCTGTTGGGCAAATAAATGTATTTAATGGATAAGCTCTAAGGGTATTGTGCAATGAAGTAACAGAATAAATGCATTTAGTTTCAAAGTCTTGAAAAATTCCCATAATTGTTTACCATTTACTTTTTGAAATGTTTTTTTAATTTTTTTTACATAAATACATTTACAAATATATTTAGTTCTATTTTTGTTGTTGCCATACTTGGATGCAAAAACCAGATTGCTGAAGCTGTGCAGGGCAGGGCCTGGTTAGTACCATGATGGGAGACCTCTGGTAACACCTGATGCCACAGTGGGGCGGCTGCGGCTGTAAAGTGCCAAACTGCCGTTGTGTTGCCTGAGCAAGACACTTCACCCACATTGCCTAGAATGAGTCTGGTGTGTGTGTGAATGGCCGGTTTTGCTTAAAGGGGCCGGTGGAACATACTGGTTGCCTGCCCCAGGACAGCTGTGGCTACCGTAGTAGTTTATCACTACAGTGTATGGAGTGAATGAATGACATGTGAAGTGTCTTTGAGTATCCTGAAAAAAAAAAAATCATTTTTTTTTTCATTTATTAAAATTCTTTGGTTATTAACTGTGTGTATATTTTAACCAGGCCTGGGACCTTGCTGACCGTACAAGCTTTATCAGAAGATGACCAGAAGTTTTGGATGCAAGCGATGGGTGGGAAAGAACCTGTGAGTCATATATGATTTAGAACACCCTACAGAACTCTCTCACTTTCTTATTTATTATCATGCAGTATTACTATAGCTGAACCTCACTCATGGATCTTACTTAGAAATGTGTTTATGTTCTACAGATGGCACATTATCTAGCAAGGACTTTTTCAAAAGAAAGAGGAAGTAAGTACCTCTGCCTCTAAAAAATATATACAACATTTGAAAACACAATAATTTATAATTTAATGTATTTTTCAGTCGACGCGCAGCTTGATGATGTGGGCTTGAGTTTTGTAAAGAACTCTATAAATGCCATAGAAAAGAGAGGTGAGTGTGTATTATAATGCTCAAGGATGGTGTACAATGCTTTCTATGGACACTAGAGGGCAGACTTGCTTCATTAATAACAGCTTCATGCAGAGGTATACTAAGAAATTGCAAATGAAAAGGCTGCAATTATTTAGCTAATGTGTTTTTGTGTTCTGTTTTTTATTTATGATAATGAGTATTATAATTATTAAAAAACACAATTAAAAGACAATCCCGAATATACACGACAAAAAATACAAATAAGGTTAAATTGAAAACTATTTTCTTTTGTACATTTATAATTATCTGCTGTATATAATGTGTTGACTCTGCAGCATAAGAAATATTAAATTCACAATGTACACAGCTTTTTTTTACTCATTACCTTATAATTTTTGTTAATCCTTTTTTGTGGAGAAATGCCTCATTGTGCTATCTTGGTCTAATTATGAAAAATCTTACCTTTGCAAACTTTTAAGAAAGCCTGTATTTCACCGTTTGTGAAGAGAGCTGTCATCTCCAATTTTCTCTCTGAAAAGGTGGATCAAAATCTGTGAAAGAGGACAGCAGTTGGGAACTTTTTTGACAGTTTTAAATGTTATACTTTATGTTGTGTGGTTTTCAAGTAAATCAATAATAATCATCAAAAAATACCAAAAATAGTTAATCAATAATAAACCAAAAAGTGAAGTGTTATTTATCTTGATGAAGAAACAAACAAATGTATTTTTGTATTTCCAAAATATAGTTGGTCTTGTATCACTCAATTTCAAATAAATAATTGTCATTTAAACGCACATGAAATGCTTTTAACTCAAGAAAATTATGCATTATTCTATATTAAAACTTTTTGTAGTACATGCATGTAGTACACATTTCAGTGTTCCCTCAAATTCGCAATTTGTCAACAAGAAACGTTGCAATATATATTGTTGTTTTATGCTTATACCTTTGTCTGTTTTCTGCAGGTATCAACGACCAGGGTTTGTACAGAGTGGTCGGTGTCAGTTCCAAAGTCCAGAAGCTTGTCTCACTCATGATAGGTAAAGTCTAATAACGTTTATGTCTGCTTTTTTTTATATGAAACAATTCCACATCCTTTCTGGAAATCGTAATAGTCTTCACACTGAACAAGAACTAAACTAGGAACTAAACTAAAAGACTCCCAACCGTGTGGTTATTTCAGGTCAAAATACCATTATGTAATATATAAAATAGAGGAAAGTTTTGAACAGTGTTTTTATTATTTTTATTGTCCAGACATATTGTCATTTTTACTGCTGTTAACCTACTGCTCTGTAACTGGTGATGCAACACTGAAATGTCCCCACTGTGGACAAATAAAGGATCTCTTTATCTTAATAGATCATTACAGTATTCCTTTGATAAGCCCTACATGTATGGATCCTGCGTCCTTTTCATTCCCTCCTCAAAACCCATTTGACCAACTTGTTATGCACAGTTCCCGAAGCCACAACAACAACAACCATATTCTTTTACGTTTTCTTTCCTTTTTCCTCCTGCTTTCCTTCCATAGACACTAGTTCACTTACAGCTGTGTGTTTGGAATTTCAACAGTCTCCTCTACGTGCCGGCAGCCTGCCCAACTTTCTGCTGTGCCAAAATTCTGCAGTCTCTCCTCAAAATCTGCAGAATCATGCTGTGAACTTCATTAACACTCCAACTACTTTTAACGTTCTTCTCTGCTGTCGTACGCACACACTTTTTTGGCAAATCTAATACCTTTAGTGAGAAGTTCTTCGAAAGCACAATGGCTCTCATTTAACAGCTTTGCAGTGAAACTTGTCTTGATAACACCATATAACCAGTACGCTGCACTCCAGCTGATAATAAATGAAACTTGAATAAAACGGCCCAAAACATGTATGGATCCTACGCCATGAACTCACAGGTGAAAACCAAAGAAGCTTTCAACAAAGCAGGAAATCATGAATAGTTTTATCATATAAAGAAGAAATAATACAAAATTATTAAGTCGATAGAATATGAAACAAAAGTGTGTCTAAGCTCATGTGCACGGGGGACAAGTTACAGAACTGATCGAGGACCAGAATTTCTAGTGTTTGATCTGTTTGTCATAGCTGCTGCTGTGTCGGATTGTGATATTTGCCAAATTTAAATGGAACAAATGTATCTGTGTTTTGTCTCAAACACAGTCACATTTATTAGGTAAAAAGTAGCAAAACCGTACTTGTCCAAAATCCAGTCTGCTTGATTGTGCCCGTATGTTGAGGCCCAATGTCTTTTCACCCGTTATTATAAATTAGTGTGAAACTCTGCATATTTGACTTATCACTAGTCTAAACCTTTTTTTTGTCTAATGTTTTTTTTTTTTTTTTACTTTTGGTAATTTATGCATACATTGGTATATTATTCGTCCCGTTTTGTTAAATTGATAGCAGTTATGGGGAATTGCGATAAAAGTTATGTTCTTTTATTTTAGTTGACATACAAGCTGAAACTAAGTGGAGGACTAAAAAAAGAAATTGACCTAAATTGAAGACGAACATATTTAAACATGTAGCTATTCAACATTGATTCATCATAGTGTGTCCGCTTTTACAGCTTTCTTTGAACTGTCCCAGTCTCTACTTGGGTAAATTATGTAACAGTATTTAAACTCGAGTACAATTTTGAGAAAGTCTACCACCTCTGCATGCTTCAAGGTGTGTGGGAGATGGCAGCATTTCAAAGTTGCCCAAGAAAGCCCTCCCACTCCTCTGCTATCTCGTCTCTCACCCACTGACATGGCCGCGGTCCAATGGAAGAGGACAGAATGATACTGAACACTGCATGGGACCCATCAGATTACAGTGAAAACAAAGGAAGGAGCCCTGATTAAATGTCAGCCTATAATACTGGCCATCAGGAAGTATAAGCTGCTGTATAGGTTGTGTGAGGTTCTATTCATGCTGAGCCGGTAGATTAACTTCATAAAGATGTAATTACATAGTGGGAAGACCTGTTGTGTCATGCTCATTCATGTTTTTCACTATTCAAATTTTTTGATTTTTCAAATTTACAAACAGAAAAGGCACATGCGCTTTAGGAGTGAATAAAGAAGTGGATACAGTATGTAGAATATATGAATTTGTTGATTTTGGATGAGTCTGTGTATAAATAAACTGTAGGAATCCAACACAATGGTTAGTTTGTAAATATGACTGCGAGCTGTACTCAAAACACAACATTTACAAGCTCATTTTTAATTCTATAAAATATTAACAGTGATTTGGTTTTTGATCCCATTTTGTATTGGATTCAGCCAAGAAATGGAAATCTCTGTATGTGTAATCAATAAATGCCAGTTCTTGCATGGCCAGCATCCTCCCCAAACATGTCATTAATACTGCTTTTGAGACTGTTAATGGATAGCCTGGCCCTATCTGGTCAAAATCCGGTCAATTACTGTAATATTTCCCTACATGTACGTCTGGGTCTGGTCCTAGTGGCCACGGTTTCCTCAGTTGTATCCCACCCGACCAGTCAGCGAGCGGAGGAGGCGGGTGTTGTAGGTAGATGCCATGACGTAAAGAGTTTCCACCAGGGCTGGACTGGGACAAAAAAACGGCCCGGGCATTTTTTCCTTCTTACCGGCCCAGGAATGTTTTTGTCACGTTTTTTACAGTTTGTTTATACCAGGGATCGGCAACTCAAAAGGTTCAAAGAGCCATATTTGACAAAAAATACTAAAAACATCTGTCTGGAGCCGCAAAAAAATAACAGCCTTGTATAAAGCTTATATGAAGGTTACACAATGTAGCTGAGTGTGTTCACAGTTAAGTGTCAATTGAAGTATCTCGAATTTAAAAGGTTATAACTTAAAAACTAAAATTACTATCATAGATTGGAAAAAAGATTTCAGACACATCAAAGAGATAGTGTGGAAAAAATCAAAAGGAAAGATTGTCAAATATATTTTTGGTGACATTTTAAACGACAAAATCAGCCTCTTTTTTGACCATTCTACTGTGACGCCAATGTCCTCAGTCTGAAAAAGCGGCAGATGAAATCCCATAATATTTACATGGTTAACACAACATCAGGAAATCACTTGATATGAAAAGGAATCGTTAAAAAATAAAAAATAATTAATTAATTAAATGACCCTTGAAAAATGTATAACGGACGTGATGGTTTCCGTCCTCTTTTCTCTAAAATTTTAACTTGAGAAAGAAACAAATCTTGTCTGGTTTCACATTTAATTGGTTGACTAAATGAAAATATCACTTTGTTTCTACTCTGTGTAAAAAAAAAAAAAAAAAATCTCTGAATCAAATGTGGACATCTGAAAATACCTATCAAACTTCCGCAAAGCTCATTCCGTCAAATCATCACGTCCGTTAGATAAAATAAACAGGGCCGCTATAGGAAACTTGTCTAATGTATAAAACAGTTATGTTCTAGCAACTTCTACTGAACAGAGGAGGTGTTTGGAAACATGAAAAACATAAAATATCTTCTGATTATTAAAATCTAATTTTTGGCCTTTTGTCACACTTTTGTGCCCTTTAGTGTGAACAAGCCCAGCTACATTAGCTACATTAGCCTATTATCTAAATGACCAAGTAAAGGCTACAAATACATGATTAGCATTCATGATTGTCAAATGTGTGTTTTCACTGCAGCGTGTCCTGGAGAGAATGACGCACCACGTGATGACTCTGCTTTAACTTTGACTTCCATTTTTTTGCCTTCATGCAACTGTAGAAATACAGTAAATAAATCTGCTTTTTGGCTCAAAGGTCACACACCTGCACTGTCCGCTCATATCGATTACGTCACAGGCTGAAGTTTGCTGGAGCTGAATGTCCTTAATGGCCTTTTCTTTCACAGTCTTTGCGGAAGTTTTTGAAGTCTGAAAAAGGTGCTCCGGATTTTGTATGAAAGAATCCTTCACGTAATCCCTGTGAACGGTATTTAGTGCTTCATTGTTCCTCGTGTTGCAACAAAACTTCCTATTACATCGCAAACATGAAGCAGTCCTTCCTCATTGACTGAAAGCAAATGTTCAGTCTTGTTCTTAGTCCAGTCTTATTATCGACTCGTTCTCTTTTTATCTTTGGGATCCGTGCGCACACGCCGGTTTGTTTACAGCAGCGGCCGTCTGCCGCGGGGCCGCGCCACAGGATATGACTCACTACGTTGACAGAAATGTTGAAATTGAATATTACTTATACACATTTTTACAGCATTGAAATACGTTAGGAATGTTTTTCCTCCTACAGAAACCACATTCAAACTAGGAATAGAATATAGCCCTCCCACTCCATTTTCAGACATTTTTGAAAAGGCTCCAGGAGCCACTGGAGGAGCACTAAAGGTTGCCGACCCCTGGTTTATACAGTATGTGGAAGCATACTGTAGAGGATCAGGATGTCTACAGTTTCAACAAAAAAATAAAGTGCAATAGTCTACATTACAAGAGAGTAATAAACATGTCTCAGAGTGAGGGAGGTGGACGCAGACAACACTGTTGTTTGTTACAGGGATGAGAATTGGTCAAAAAAGTCGGAAATGCATAATGTCAGCCATTGGCTGGCTCTAAATCTGTTTAATTTTGTCACAACATTTTACTTTTGGGCTCAAACATGAACTTTTAATGCAATGGAACATTTAGGCACCCGAGCTTTAATTTAGTCGCACTTCGAGAGGAGAGGGGAGACGCGGACTGTTTCCTGCAGCGGTGTATTTATTGGGTGCACAAATTACGCAAAGACACGCATGGTCCTGTGCACGTTTATGGTCTTGGGTACATGGTCACGTTGCGGCTACGCGCTCACCGTGTTGTGTTGTGAGCGGCTCCCGGTGAGCGGTTACCGCGTCCAGCTCAGAGCCGCTGGATGCCGGAACACTGCGGCCGCTGAGGTGGTAGAATCCCGTTCGAGTACATACAGCAGGTGCCCCGCGGACACGCGCGCCCCCTTGAACAGTTCTCAACGGATTTACACTTTTCACAAACATCTTTTTTGTATGAGGCAAACAGACCGGCCCAAATATGGGTATCGGCCCTTCTGGCATTGCCCGGTACGCCCGATGGCCAGTCCAGCCCTGGTTTCCACCGAAATTGCTGGTTGTAGTTTGGCAATGACGGTGAATGCGAGAGTAAAGTAATTTGTTCTCCTTCGGCTCCCAAATATCAAACCGTGAAGCCGGAGTAAGAGGAATATATAACAAATGTCTAGAAAATGGCAGAGATGTGGCTCTCCTCCCCAAGGGCTCTGTTAAGCCTGGTTCATACGGCAGGATAATTAGGCCCATTAAAACCCGATTCACCCCTGACTACAATTTTAAAAATGCTCAGATTTTTGTAAAATACTCTGATGGATTTTCCTGCCATGTGTGGTGTGTTAAAACTGCGCTCAATGCTCAGGACTTCAGGACTGCTTCGATCTCGAATCAGGGATATTCAACATGTTGGAAACACTGGAAAAAAAAATCATATGTCAGCGGCATGGCACACCAGAAAGTCCAGTGGACGTCGGAGATGGAGTATAGTCCATGTGTTGTCTCCACTTTTTTGACCATTGCCTTTTCTTTTGATAACGCTTTTTCTGTACAAAAAAAAAAAAAAAACTGCAAACTATTGCCACTTCATCCTCTTCGTCCAACATTATTGGTTATTCTGGAGTCACACTTGTTCTCGAAAGAGATTTTGCGGGAGTGAAATTGGTTCGTGTGGTTTGCGTGATTTTGCCTTTTGGCTGCACACCACACACTGTACGACCAAAGGGGTTAGATCCTTCATTTTTTACCTCTGTGTGAGGTCACTCAGGTTTGGAAAATCAACCGACAGTTTTAAAATCGTCTTGTGTGAACCAGGATTAAGTGGCAAAGGAGATGGCTAGGCTAAATGCTAAATGTTTGCAACTCATTTGGGTGCATTAAATTATGTCACAGTAAACTTAGGATTCAATCGTTTCAATCTGCAATAAGAGTTGACCCCCTTCCACCTGTTCATGGAGCTTAGTACGAAATGAAATTTGTACAATGGTATGGTAAGACCAGGCTAATTAACACATACTTTTACTCGACATAAAAATAATTTTCATTGAGAAATATGCTCTCCATTGAAGTCCCCTTCCGTCTTTCCCTTTACCACTCTTTGAAACACTTTCTGACGGTACTTGCGCAGCCTTGTGTATTCATCAGAGGTTACTTAACGGTGCGACTTACCCCCCCTTTGCCGCTGTGCGAGCACAACACAGTTGTCTGGTCCCCGCGGAGCTACTCCAGTAGTAAGGGATTAATTAAACTTATAATGAGTGTATAGAAGCAACGCAAGCTGTAACTTCTGTCAACGTCCACCGGGGCCCGTCGCAAAACCCCCAGGCTGATAGCGCTGCTTTTATCCTCGTCTGGATAATTACAACTTACATATTTGCATTGCATGTTTGGACTTTCTAGGTTGCCACCTATGAATTATAACAAACATAGTTATTGTTAAACATATGTATTGGGTGTTTTTTGAAGGGCTGGTAAATGGAGGTATTTTTTAAATGTGTAAAATTTTTAACCCACTTTTTGTGGTATCTTTTCAGATGAAAAGAGCAATGATTTAGACTTATCTACAAGTGAGGACTGGGATGTAAAAACCATAACTAGCGCTTTAAAGCTTTATCTAAGGTAAGTGTCATAATTTCATGGACATTGCTTTATTGTTGGTTGCTTTGATTGGATTTTTGTCTCCGTGAAAATAATATACAGTATTATCCATCCTAACAAAAACGAAAGTTTTTGATTGATTTTTTTAAATTATGCACCACAAGGAAAAAAGCAAATCCCCAGTTTGTGAATTTTGTTCATAGAAAAGGGCTATAGATTTCTGATTCTGAGACCAGATACCACACAGTTGTAATGAGTACTGACATTTGTTGTCAACCAAACAGACTTTACTTGATATGTTATCAAACGCATGTTTAACACTTTGCCTCCTAATGACCCAGTTTAGTCTAATGCCTAATGTGTTAATTTTAGTTCGTGGCTGTTTTATTTATTTTAAATCCAAAACATGCAGAATTATTGAGCCATTTCAGACATTCAATAAACTTTGACATAAAGTTTACTTTTAGTTTGACTGGCAAAACAACATTCCTCCCAGCCAATTAGCACACGTGCTAACGTATTCTCGTGCACTGGGATGATGAACCCTCTCATGGTTTTAATGGTAATGAGGAGGTTATTAATAAGTTACCAAAATAAAGTTACATTTGACTACAAAAATTTATATTTGACTATTGGAAACAAGGCGACTGAAGTTAAAAAAGGGGCTAAATTAGATACAAGGTGTACCGTGGAATCCGTTTAGGAATAAATTGACAACTAATACAATTTGTACTATTTGTTAGAACAAGTTGGTGCTTGTGTATACAAGCAAAAAGTTATGCATTGTCAGCGCCACTCTACTGCATTTGTACCACTAACTTCCTGACCAGAGTTGGTATGAGAGTGAGAGGTCACATTCCCCATTTCATCTGCTCTTGGGCTGTTTTGGGAATGAGATTTAGCAGTATCTCTTTTTGAATCACACTTGTATGTTGTTCAACATCAATCCTAGCCTCCACAGCTCAGAAATGTATCAAATCCTCCCTAGTAAAGGTGTTCCTCCTTTACACTAAATAATAAAATAACTTGACCAGGGACGGCCAAATATTATGTAGAATTCTTACTAGAAGTCAACACGCATAATTTTTTTTCAGCGATATAGATTCCCCATAATGCCAACATAAACATTTGTTTGTGATAGATTGTCTTTAGTTTATGTAACCTGCCGTGTGCATTGTCCTATCCCCAGTCACTCTTGAGTCTCCTCTGAGCCTCAGAGCTTTTGGCCCGTGTCCAGTACCTTCAGATGAACTTGGTTTTCACAACGCATAGAGCGTCTAATTCTCCTCCGTCCCAGCCGCATAAATCATCCCAGCAAGCGAGGACCCTATAAAACAGCACTATTTCTGTCCCCCCTTGGCTAACTTGTTCTCTCCCTCTCCTCCTTCCACTCCTCCCTTTCTCTTTTGTTTCTTTTTCCTTTGTTGTCATCCTGAAGGAGCCTACCCGAGCCACTGATGACCTATGGACTGTACAAAGAGTTCATCAACCCTGCAAGTAAGTGGACACTGCTCATCGCCGCTCCGCTTTCTAATGTTAACAGAAAGACCTCGCGTGTGGAGCTGTTCCTTTGATTCTAACGTCACTCGTGGGAGTAAATATGGCAGTTCAAACCCCGCCAACCAATAATGTTCTGTGCCAGATGCTTTGCTTACACAAGACTAGTGTAAGTAAGGAGTTGGGACTGTAAGGGCTTAAAATCCAGGAAGTGCTATGACTCCATCACACTATGAAGACCAAGGCTATATCCACACGAAGACAAAACGCTTATAATTTCAGAAACTTTTTCTGTAAACACGGAGTTAGCTCAGTAAATGTGTGCGTCCATATGAATGTAGTCAATACGCCTGAAAACGCTGTGAAACTATGCCAGACCTGTTGGTGGCGCTGTGACGCAATGACGGGATCAAGCCCAAACTTCCGTGGGCATGCGCGGAATTTTGTAAACAGACAACATGGCGAGTGGGCGAGCTGGTACTACATTAGTATGGACGGACGATGAGGTTGAACTGTTGCTTCGGGTCGCACTGGATTACAAAACCAACAAGCTACGTTGTTGTTGTCATTATTTTCTGAGTGCGGCGCATGCGTGCTTTAACAAGAGGTGGGGCGATGACGCAAGCGTCTCAGATACATTGCGGAGAGGCAGTAACCACGGAGCGGCATATACGGAGTTTTGAAATCTTTCCACTCTGGGACCTAGTTTCAAAAATGTTCGTTTACACCCCCCCAAAACGCCGGCCTCGTATGGACGATACACTGGATTGATAAAGTATTTTTGCGTTTAGGCCTGAGCTTGACTTCGTGTGGACAGGGCCTAAGTAATCAATCAACATTCAGGGTGATTCTTTTTTGCCTTTCAAATAAACAGTAGGAAGTGGGGTTTTCTCTTGGTTAAATGAAAATACAACCGCACCACAGAATTGTTCAAACCAAAGCATATCAACTTATCTACACTATGCACATTAGAAGATAAAGAAAGTAAAGGCCACACAAGGGCTATTGTATAAATCTAACAAAGCTATTATACAAGTAAAATAATGACTAAATTGAAGGTTAGAAAGTCGTTTTCATCATCCATTGCAGATTTCGCTGACCAAGGTCCCTTCAAGTGCTTTACAATGTTTCGAGAATTTTTCTTTCACTACACACACATAGTGATGCTGGAAAAAAGACCCCGATTTGAATGAACACTATTCATTAATTCATTCATTACCTATTTTACATGTTTTTAGTGGTAGAAAGACCTGGCATATACAAATCCTTGCTTATACAGTTCCTTGCGAAAATATTCGGCCCCCTTGAACCTTTCAAGGGGCGTTCACACCGGACTTAACTTCGGCGTCAAAAGCGTCAGGTTTCCATTGAAAGTGAATGGTGAAGCGCGTCAGGTGAAGCCGAGAGCCCCGGCGTCACTTGACGCGCGTCAAAAGCTTCAAGAGTCGCGCGTAATACGCGCTCACTTGAAGCTTTTGACGCGCGAAACGCTCGCGTATCACAACAATCCCTCTGACGCCGAAGCTGAGCAAAGCTGAGCTTTTGAAGCTTTGACGCGGGCTTCAACCAATCAGGAGACGAGGAGCAGCAGCAGCAGAGGGTCTGTCTCTGTCATGAAGAGAAGTCATGCTGCTGCTGTTTTATTGTCATTATTGTTATTAGTAATATTATTTGTATGAGTAGTAACGTTCTGAGTAACAAAATCATTGTACACATGCTGTGTAGTAAACGTAGTTTATTTAAAATAAGAACAGGCTGACGATGAGTCTGGCTCAGAGCAAGGCAGCTCCGGGCGGGCGAGAGCCGGGGAGAGGCAGGGAGAGGCAGGGAGAGGCGAGCGAGAACCGAGGAGAGGCAGGGAGAGGCGGGGAGAGGCAGGGAGAGGCGGGGAGAGGCGAGCGAGAACCGAGGAGAGGCAGGGAGAGGCGGGGAGAGGCAGGGAGAGGCAGGGAGAGGCGAGCGAGAACCGAGGAGAGGCAGGGAGAGGCGGGGAGAGGCAGGGAGAGGCGGGGAGAGGCGAGCGAGAACCGAGGAGAGGCAGGGAGAGGCGGGGAGAGGCAGGGAGAGGCGGGGAGAGGCAGGGAGAGGTGAGCGAGAACCGAGGAGAGGCAGGGAGAGGCAGGGAGAGGCAGGGAGAGGCAGGGAGAGGCAGGGAGAGGCAGGGAGAGGTGAGCGAGAACCGAGGAGAGGCAGGGAGAGGCAGGGAGAGGCAGGGAGAGGCAGGGAGAGGCGAGAGCCGGGGTTTGAGAACTCAGACTGGGCAAGTGACATGCGGAAGTACCGCTGAAAGCGAAACTCCTCCGTACGCAGCTCCTGGAGTAAATGACGGAACTCTGCAAACACTGCAGCCTCTCAAGTCTGTGGTGAACCCAGAACATGTTTTGTTGAAGCCCTACAACAACGTTATTTTGCTTTATATAACAAATAAAGGCTCGCTGCTCATTGAAAAATCCACCGCTGTCCTGACTACAGGCAACAGAGAAGCTCCTCCCACCGGCAACAGAGAAGCTCCTCCCACCGGCGTCAGGCGCGTCACTCGCGTCAAAAGCTTCAAGCACCAAAATGACAAAACTATCCCGGCGTCAGTTGAAGCGCGTCAAAAGCTTTTTGAAGCTTTTGGTCTGAACGCGCCTTCAGGCTTCAAACATAAAGATATAAAAATTAAGTTTTTTGTCAAGAATCAACAAGTGGGAAACAATCGTGAAGTGGAAATTTTATTGGATTATTTAAACTTTTTTAACAAATAAAAACTATAAAGTGGGTCGTGCAATATTATTCGGCCCCCTTGCGCTAATACTTTGCAGCGCCACCTTTTGCTGCAATTACAGCTGCAAGTTGCTTGGGGTATGTCTCTATCAGTTTTGCACATCGAGAGACTGGAATTCTTGCCCATTCTTCCTTACAAAACAGCTCGAGCTCAGTGAGGTTGGATGGAGAGCGTTTGTGAACAGCAGTCTTCAGCTCTTTCCACAGATGCTCGATTGGATCCAGGTCTGGACTTTGACTTGGCCATTCTAACACCTGGATACGTCTATTTGTGAACCATTCCATTGTAGATTTGGCTTTATGTTTTGGATCATTGTCCTGTTGGAAGATAAATCTCCGTCCCAGTCTCAGGTCTTTTGCAAACTCCAACAGGTTTTCTTCCAGAATGGTCCTGTATTTGGCTCCATCCATTTTCCCATCAATTTTAGCCATCTTCCCTGTCCCTGCTGAAGAAAAGCAGGCCCAAACCATGATGCTGCCACCACCATGTTTGACAGTGGGGATGGTGTGTTCAGGGTGATGAGCTGTGTTGCTTTTACGCCAAACATATAGTTTTGCATTGTGGCCAAAAAGTTTGATTTTGCTTTCATCTGACCTTCTTCCACATGTTTGGTGTGTCTCCCAGGTGGCTTGTGGCAAACTTTAAACAAGACTTTTTATGGATATCTTTGAGAAATGGCTTTCTTCTTGCCACTCCTCCATAAAGGCCAGATTTGTGCAGTGCATGACTGATTGTTGTCCTATGGACAGACTCTCCCACCTCAGCTGTAGTTATCTGCAGTTCATCCAGAGTGATCATGGGCCTCTTGTCTGCATCTCTGATTAGTCTTCTCCTTGTTTGAGATGAAAGTTTGGAGGGACGGCCGGGTCTTGGTAGATTTGTAGTGGTCTGATACTCCTTCCATTTCAATATAATTGCTTGCACAGTGCTCCTTGAGATGTTTAAAGCTTGGGAAATCTTTTTGTATCCAAATCCGGCTTTAAACTCCGGCTTTAAACTCCGGCTTTAAACTTCTCCACAACAGTATCTCGGACCTGCCTGGTGTGTTCCTTTGTCTTCATGGTTCTCTCTGCGCTTTAAACAGAACCCTGAGACTATCAAAGAGCAGGTGCATTTATACGGAGACTTGATTACACACAGGTGCATTCTATTTATCATCATCAGTCATTTAGGACAACATTGGATCATTCAAAGATCCTCACTGAACTTCTGGAGTGAGTTTGCTGCACTGAAAGTAAAGGGGCCGAATAATATTGCACGCCCCACTTTTCAGTTTTTTATTTGTTAAAAAAGTTTAAATTATCCAATAAATTTGGTTCCACTTCACGATTGTGTCCCACTTGTTGTTGATTCATGACAAAAAATTAAAATTTTATATCTTTATGTTTGAAGCCTGAAATGTGGCGAAAGGTTCAAGGGGGCCGAATACTTTCGCAAGGCACTGTATATACCACTTTTACATGAGATATAATGTAATGCTTTACCAAAGACCTTGATGTATAAATGTTTTTTTAAATGATTTGACTTTGTGATGCGGCCATTTTCAACGCAGTTTATTCTCAGACTGGAAGAAATTAAGCCCCATATTCATACTTCAATGCACTGGATCAACAATTTTGATCTTTGGCAATTGCTCACTTGACTGACTTAAATTCTGCCAATGAGTGGGTGGAAAACATCAGCCTAATGTATGGAGTATTTAACCAGCGAACACATGCCATATTAGCCTGGCTCCGGCTGAAATTAAATAGTTCGGCTATAGCCAGGCTAATGTTATATGCTACAAAGAACAAACCAATTTTTGCATGATAATATTTCAACTTTATAATTACCGTTTAAAAGAAAATAAAACTTTAAAAGCTTCTCAAACCAGTGGGGGCAGGTTTCCAGCTCAAAAAGCTCCATGAGCACGTGCGCTGACATACTTGCAATCCCACTTCTAGCAGGTGCTTCTGTAAGGAGTCTTCTTTCCTCTCAAAAACGTCTTTACAGGATGGTCCAAAAGTTGGCTCTTGGCCCAACGCTACATTCCAGATGTGTGTCAATGCTGAGGGGAGTGTATTTTTTTGGACCAGTCGAGTTTAGCCACTGTGGACTTCAGAAGCCACTTGTTAAATGAATGGGGCTGGTTCCGGCTAATACATACTTTTCACGTATTCCTGTGGGAAGTGCAGCCTGCTACCATTTTGAAAAAGCCCCATAGAAGCCCAAAGGGATGGCCCATTAGTTTCAACGGCAGAGATAATGAAGAACCTATAGGTTTATAATGTCATGAAGGGTAGCTGGTAGTGATGGGCCAATCCACATGAAACAAAACTTGTCGCAAGGTGCCATATCTTCTTTGTCAGGACAAGATCAAAATATTTTCTCATCAAGAGATCTAGAAGTGGTGACGATTAAAAAAAAATATCATGCATTTTGTTGACCAGTAAAAAGAATTACTGGGCGTGAATCTAAACACTAATACCTTGTAAAAACATTTTCTTTTTCAGAATTTCTTTTAAGAAAGTCGCTTCATCATAAACCTTTCCTTACATTCCCAGCACAGACACACACACACACACACCTATTCTTTTCGACTCCGCTTAACAACCCGCAGAAAATGAGACGTAGTCAGGGTCAAATAGCTATAATGTCCTGCTCTCATGTTGCGCCAAAACCTACATTCTATCATGTTGAATGAGTTATACAAAAATGGCAGTAACCTGCGGCTGTAGGGGTAGAGGTGTACTCTTGTCTTCCGTTCCTATCCGGTGCCCTTTAATTACCCAAGAGCCATTGAGAAACCTATAGACAACCCCTACACTCACCCACCTCCAGTCTTTTACGCATTGAATGTGTTTAAACGCAGCCAAAAGCGCGTATCACATTACAACATGCGCTATTATGGGAACGAGGCTGACATTTTTATCGGGCCCTCGCAATGCCCTCCTAACGAGAAGGGGAAATGGATTAGTGACGAATGTTATTTTGACGGGTGACAGCCTCCACACACTCCAAATCCTTGGCGTTCCCATAGTAATGATTTTTTTTGGTGAGCGTCTGGTTGTGCGCGTGGGCGGTCAGATGCCCATGTGCGAGCAAAATGTTTAAGAGATGATCTGGAAGGGGGGGTGAAACACGGCCCTGGTTTTTTCCTTTTTTTTTTTCTTACACTGCAGAGTTGGTAACGTAAAGCCTGCAGCAGCACATTGAAATGTGTTGCCAAAACTTCAGGCTGCAGACAGTATATACCATCATCGCACTTTTATTTGTGTGGAGGAATGTGATGCTGCTACCAAAGTCTGTGCTCGTTAGATTGATAATTTATCATAATGTTTTTTTTAGTGTACTGGAGAAAATAATTTACAGAATTTGATAATTACAAATGATCTATTACAATATTGCCTGTTTTATAACATTCACTCATTGAACTTAGGCAGTTCAGTGCTGATACATTTGATTACTTATTTTAAAGCTGGGGAAAACACTTTTTAAAAAGAAATTAATGCAATAACATCCAACGTAGCTCTCAAAACAGCTGGTATTTTATCACTATTTTTCCCATTCATGTATTTTTGGCCACATATTTAGCTCTCAGTTACAGTAAAGTGAATTAGGAATATAAAAACGGTGTGATTGGTTCATAAAATGTTGACTTGGAACTGTTGAATGAGACTCTGTTTGGAATAACATCTATAAATCAACATCTAAGAAATATTAAACGTGGGTACGCTGGCGTTGAGGCAATACATATTAAATCCATTAAATAAACAGCAACACATGGTTCAAACACTATGAGCCATTCTGGGTTTATTTGTTTTGTCTTTTCCTCAATAACCCCGTTTTCTTTTGGGGTTTTTTTTACTGTGGGAGAAACACTTTTTTTCATTCACTTCTGAAATCAGTAATGGAATAAATGAAACAAAAGACTGAAAGAGGCTTGCGGGTTGCCAGGTCGCTGTACTTTAATACATAATCTACTAATATGAACAACTAACCTGTCTTTTTGGAGTGGGATCATTTTAATTCTTATTGTGAATCAGCCCATTCATTGAAGGAAAGCATGTGGAAAAAATGGGGTGCAGGAGGGTCTAAGGACATGATGCTATGGGACATTTAAGGACATATATGGGCATTAACATGTATGGGCACTGCTCCCTATGGACTAATGACTCCTATGTGTCATTATTGCATTTCCTGTGTTTGATTCTCCGATCTGCTGTAAGTGAATTTGGGCTGTTGTGATTTAGGAATATACAAAAATACTTTTTATTGAATTGAAAATTGAATAGTGTTTAAATGTATGTGTCGGCCTTTCCTTATTCAAGAATTAAATTGGGTTTGCTTTTGAAAGTCTTATCTTTTCTTGTCTACAGCCATTTTACAGCCATTTGTGTTTATGTAAAAACACAAAAAACGGTGTATTGAATATCAGTTTTAACCACTGCGGCTCCTCTCCTCCAGATCTCAGCTGCGTTGGCTCCGTGCCTACTTTCCGTAGCGCACGGCTTTTCTCCTCCTCGTCTAATGCCAGTGTTTGTTGTGCGTTTGAACAGAGGGCGGGAGTCCAGAGTCTCGCATCCAAGCCGTCCACTGCCTGGTCCACAAACTGCCTGAGAGAAATCGACTAGTCCTGGGGCTCCTCATGAAGCATCTGGCCAAGTGAGTGTTTGGGTCGGAGTGTAGGCCTCCTCCGCCTGTCTGTCTCCCAGTTCTCACTCCACATGCTTTTTCTCTCTCCATCTCCATCTCCCTCCCACTTACAGCACTCCCCCATTCCTGCTGTCTGTCCATATCTCCTCAGCCTCCTTCGGCAGCTCGCACTCAAAAGCTTCTCCGTTTTGTGTGTGTGTGTGTGTTTTTTTTGTTTTTTTTTTATTGTCAGAGTTCCCACGCGTCCTGGGAAAACCTGGAGTCTTTAATTGGAGGAAATTTGCAAACAGTGTTCTGAGCAAAGCGCTAATTGAAAACGTTAAGTTCTCGTTTGATAATGTAATTAAGTTGTGCAGTTTTGGAAAGTGGTGAAAGTTCTATTTAAGTGTTTTTTAAGTTTTATTTTTCGTTGTTATTTTGTCGTATTGTTTCAGGCAAATTGGGAAGAACAACAAAAGGTTTCGAAAAGTCATCTGGACGTTTTAGTTGAGCATATTTCAGTAAAATGTATGGACACAGTGTGCTGGTGACTGTAGATGGAGAAAGTGATTCATAATTGAGAATAATGAATACAAAGTTAGACTAATTCTATTAAGTTTGAGTTTTAAGTAATACATGTATCTTAACTTTGAAATGCATTTGTGCCTCTTCATTTGTATTATGAAGTTTAATTGTTCTTTATGTACTCACAACTTGGACAGTGCTTTAAAACATTTTTAGATCCTACCAATGTATTCAGTTAGTAGATCAGTAGTTGTTGTTAATTATCACATCAAAGCATCAAAATTAAGTAAACTTCATTGTTAGGGGTTTTAGGTCTGATATTTCAGAAATTATGCAACTAGTTTATATTCCAGTTCATGTTAAATTGGAATCCCCGGCTGTTTTTTTTGTTTTTTTTTGTCTCCCTTTTTGTGAAAGGTCTGACCCAGACATTGCCAGAATAGTTCATATTTGATATCTTACAAACTTGTAGGATAAAGCAATGCAAGTCACATGTGTTTGGAATAAAAGCTTTTTGGCTCCTGCACCTATCTGTCTGAAATGGCTGTGTTCTGAAATGCAAAAAAAATGAATTTTAGTGATATGTTTTAATCAAGTAAGAGATGTATTTATACCTATATGGACATACTTGGTCATATACGCCCCAAGCATTGAGGTATTTTCTAATTAGGTTATTGAAGTGGTGCTTTTCCCACGTTTTCCCAAATAAGAAGTTTGTATGGTCTGGGCAGAAATAACTTCAGGCACATTGTACTTGCTGGACTGTACCTGTTTATCATGCAGCTCCCCTCACAACAGCTAGGCACAATAAAACGGACCACTCAAATTAAGCCCTCCGCCGCGATTACGCAGCTCTCTTTACCGTAGCCTGCCCACCACTCTGACTGCATCACTCAATTTGAAAGATTAGATGGATTGATTGAAGATTTAAGAAATGGCATTCGCCCCCACATTACAAGTTTTTTTTTTTACCTCGACAAGCTTTTTATAAACTAAATATGAGCAAATTGAAGATAAGTAAATAATCCGTCTTCCCCGAGGCTCGCAAAGTCTGCTGGATCTTATTTCATAGAAGCCCTGCTGCAGAATCAGGCGCTGGTAAAAAGGCAGCGCTATTGAAATTGAATTTGGATTATCCAGCGTGAAATTCTCCAGACTGGAAAGACTTGAATATTTTTCTGAAGTTGGCTTGTGTGCATGTCCTGCAGGGGGAAGGAGCAGAGCCAGGATTTCACACTCCTATCTGAGGCGCTTTCCGAGATGTTATAAATGTGAGTTGTCACCAGTGTTTTTGTCTTCAAAGCCGTCCTTTGAAGCTATTTAAACTGTCTCTCTGTAGATGCTGCGCCGTATCGTCATGCAGGGAGTGTGAAATCTTTTCACCTGGCCACAACTTTTTTTTTTTTTCTCTTGTACTCCTATATGGATTCCACCTACTTTTCTGACCCTTTGAGAAGCAGCTCGCGCTCCTGAAGCTGCCCTACTTTCACTGTCAATGTGAAAGAATGTAATACGAGTCCTTGAATGAAGCTTGGTACCTGCTTTTAGTGCTTTTACAGATACAGTTAGTAGTTGTAGTCACTGGTTTATAGCATGATTTTGGATTATGTATGATATTGTTTGTCAGTAACACACCTTGCCCTGAGACCTCTCTTACCTGTTGGATAGGAAGTGTTTAGTGATGTGTATCTTCCTTCAGTCTTCACCAGGGCAGCTGTGGCTATAGTAGTACTGAGTGAATAATGCGTCCAAAATGTTTTGGGAATTTTCATGAACATACATCAAAGTCGTCATGGTATCGGGTCTTTTTGTTCCACATTTGTCCTCGCTCACCAATAGCTTGGTATTTCATCTGGACTGAGTCGTAGTGTTTGAGCCCTGCTGTGGAGCTGTGAAAGCCGTACACTTGAATTTGAAAGTGTATACAACTGTAAAGGGCAGTACACTCTTCGCTGAGCAGAGCAATGCTGGCACCTTCACCTGACTTTAAATAAAAGTAACTCTCATGTTATACTAAAGATATTGTTTGCTAATGTTTTTTTTTATTATTATGTTTTTGGAGTTTGCACATGGCACACGTAGACGATGGCTCCTCACAAACCTGTTCCTAGCGCAGCACACTCACTCTCGCTCTCAGATGCTCCTATTCTGCCTGTTTCCTCCTCTGTCTCAAACACAGAAGTCAATGGGCTCTAGTCTCGTACTGTATCTACATCCATTGCTCTGTACAGTGCTGTCAATCCCGTTGCTTTCCTTGTTTGTGACTCACTCGCAGAATGACTTTGAAGCGCCTGGCCTCCTGTTGCTTTGGCGTTGTGGCCCTTCTTCCCGCTATGGAAATGTACTAAACAGCTGCGCAAAGTCCAATTCAAGAAGAGTCTTTTTTTCTTCCCTCCATCCTTTTTCCATCTCCGTTTCATGTAGAGCACTGATGAGTCGACGTCATGGAAGCAGTCTCGCTAATCACTAAAGGCTTGAAACCCACAAAACCGAAGACCCTTGATTAACTGGATTTATCACCATTTATATCAATATTCAGATTGCGCTTTGTCATGACATCATACCATTACAGTGTTTGGTCGTGCATTCCAGACCTGTACCTGCAGTGATTCCCTACCTGAACTAATTCACCTCTTAAAATTATGAGGCCATCTACACATTATGTATTTCGGCCAAACAGATGTTGCATCATATAAACATATAGTCAAGTACAACAGAGTTATATTCTTATATTAGTCTACTTTTTATTCACTCATACAACAGTATGAGCTTTAACAAGTCTAACAAGCTTTTACAAAACAGCCCAAAACGCTCTGTCAATCAATCCGTCGAACACCAAAGCAGTGTTAGAGAAACAAGACGATACGAAACTATTAATGGGAGATAGTTTGCTGCTTCTCTGAGCCTGCAGCCAGGGGTACCATTCGTAGTAGTGGATAAATCCTTTCTCTACTGAGTCAAGCTTGCTAACGTCCGTCGGCCTGCCTCTCTTCAAACCTTCTAGCTTTTCTTGAATGTCATAACTATTTATGCGACCAAATCAATATCTTTGCCTCCGTTGACCATCTGTTTCAAAATAGCATTTTCACTTATTTTCTGTTTATCACAATGGCATGTCTGCATTGACTTTATAGCACGTATCCTTTCAAAAGGCATGCACTCTTTGAAGCTGTAGCCCTTCTTGCTGGCCTCAGTAAAACTAACCAGATGCTGATTGGTTAATGGCACAAGTTCGTTGCCATCTACCATGGTCCAGCACTGTTGCTTCTAAAGGCCTAAAGGCAGATTTTGAACCCTGGCAGCACGTGACGCTGAATAATGATCTCCAACATAAACGCCCGCCCTCCAAATCTCGACCTTAGGCTCGAAGCACCACAACCAAGTTGGGGAAACTATGAAATTAAGAGTATAGACTAATTATTATAATTTATAACATCTTGTGAAAAAGAAAATATTTTAAGACGGAAGGAGCGGAACTACATGCTTGTGCTAGAGGTTCCTGATATTATTATCTAAAATGATCTCCAGGTCTGTTTTTTATGAGACACAATTAACATGGTTCAAAGTTCAGAAATATTACCCACAAATTGTCTCTTTGAAATGTTTGCCAATATGGCCCAGTCCACTCATCAGTTCCTCTTTTTTTCCTCTATAGCGTGGCTGCCCATAGTAAGCAGAACCTGATGACTGTAGCAAACTTGGGGGTGGTGTTTGGTCCCACGCTGATGAGGCCGCAGGAGGAGACTGTCGCCGCCATCATGGACCTCAAATTCCAGAACATTGTGGTGGAAATCCTCATCGAGCAGCATGAAAAGGTAGTTGCCCATACATTACCACATACACACTCAAAGCAATAGCAGGGAGCCATTTCAGTCCACTTTATTTGTATATCATATTCTATATTATATTATATTCTAACGTTTACCCAACTGCTGCACTTCTATTAACAATAAATACTCTCACACGTCTTCCATCAAAAATAAGTAAGACAAAGGAAAACAATCATAGAATGAATACATAAATGATGTAAACGGAAGCAATAAATGATTAAAATCCTTAAAATAGCCGTATTGAAAAAAATGTAATCACAAAATGCTTATACATTCCATGGGACGTAATTGTGGTGGAGGGATGGTTAATCCGCAAAGGAACTTTTCCATCGGAGAAGTGATGTATTCCACGGCCCATACAAGATGTTCTGAGATGTAATTATTGTGCTGCAACCTGAGAATTTTCTATCACGACTGAATGAGTCTCAAAGCGCTGGTGCTTGAACTGAAGTGTTCACATGTGGGTGATTGTAAACCATGTGAACAGTTGTGATTATAATCTGGGTTTTACTCAGTTCGTTGATAAAAAGTCATTATACAAAATGTTTTAATTGTTTTCCTGCCTTTCTCATGCATGCTTGTTTAATCTTTTGTCCTCCTGCATTTGAAACTGCATTGCTTCGGACAGGTCCTCATATTTACCAGCACACGCCCAACATTAACAAATGTTTGTTATTTCATTTTTCTTAATCTGACATCCAAGCATGCTTTACTACAGCTACAGAACTCCGCAACAGTCTCCTGTCGTGAAGAACGAATAAATATGGCTCTGTCAAACTGTCAAAATAATTACAGTATGTTTGGTAGATAGATTGCACAATGTATTTTGGTGGTCCATATTTATGTATTTATATTTGCAATATTGGCTGGCATTCTAACGATTTATTTGCAATATGGTCAAATGTCAGCTATAAATAGTTGAATAGTATTTTTATGGCTAAATATTGCTTAATTATGCTGTTTTTTGTATATGAATATAGGTCTTAATGTAGCCAGGCTAGCTCCAGACGACTACTTGTGGTGTGTCTCTCGTATTGTTCTGCACAATTATGTTATGTTGTTATGTAACAATCATATCAATTCAACTTGATAATGTATTGCACAAGACTGAAATGCAACAAGAGGAGGAGAAATGCCAAAAAGACAAATTATGTTTGCACAATAGTGCTATCAATTACTGAAATGTTGCAAGTTAGACATGCGGGAAGATGGCTTTCGCCAACTACAAGCTTCCATCTGCGGAACAGTGAGTCATTGTCGTCTTGCAGTCCCTCCCAGTTCTGTGATTGGTCCCCAAGTCTATGCGACAATTTTGGTTTGAGTTTCCTGGTTGTGCAATTTGAAACAATTCTCATCATGGTAAAATGAGGTGCCGGGACACATTTGGTGATATAACAAATACATAATAGTGGGAACTAAGAGTTGTGCCAACCTCCATTTTACATGTTTGGTATTATAGTTGTGTCAGTGGAAAATGGCACTTTCAATACTATCGTTTATATGAACAAATTATCATTATATTGCCTATAATTCTTTGATTCCTTTGAATGCTTGACATTTTGCTACATTATTAACTCATTATACTATTTTTTTCTTAATGTTCATCTTGGACTTGCTGGCCTGTCTGCCTACATTCTCCTTCATCCTTTCTGCAGCCTCAACAAACATACCTTGATTGATTATATTAACAATCCATTTGCTTTTTTAATAATAAGCTGATAAGACGTTAACACAAATTAAAATGTTGGGGTGTTCTCCGTGACCGACAAGAGTAGCCCTTTGCGCCTGCCACACACGGTCTCAAACACCTGCTTGCCTAGCTTGATTAAATAGTAGATTGTAAGTGCGCCTGTTTTAATATTCATGAAGTATTTTGGCAGGCCCAACGCGTTTATTTGTTTCGTAACCTGTAATCTCCAAATGTTATTAATCGGTGCCAATCCTCACATCGGGATCACCCTGTGTGCCAAAAGAGAAGGGTTGGAGATGAGTTTTCTAATCTGTTTGGAGCAGTGCCACAGTCTGAGCACAATCAGATGGAACCACCTTTTGGAGATTTTATTTTTTGACATTTCGTTTAAAGCCACAGTACGAAACGTGTGAGCCAAATAAAATACTAATATGATAGCATGTTTTTACACTTTCAATGTTTTTGCAGCACTGAAAAAGCATAATAAAATGTGCAAGTGCTGTGAGTGCATCTTCACAAACCTGATAAGTATTGTCTGAGTGGGCTCCCGAGATGTGTTTCAGCAGAAGGTGTTTCATAATATGAACTTTTTATTTCAATGGAATCATGCAGGTGATTTCACACCATCACACTGTTATTTACGCATATATTATTATATGTATGAATATTATTCCAAAGTTAGTTTCCTTCTTTAATTCAACTTACAATTTGAATTATTATTTTCAAAGTGGACTGTAAGCCACTTTGCATATAATGAATCTATATCTAAATTGGTTTCACATTTTAAATTGAATTACAGAAATAAAAGAACCTATGAACAATATTCTAATTTTCTGAATTTCAGTTGTAATGTGTTCATTAAAAGTATTCAGATTCAGATTTAAATATGTTTGCTTGTCATTGAATGTACGCAATTATATTTAGTTTGGTTAAAAATAGTTTTACTTTATTCAGATGAAGAGATGGGGACATTAAGATAAAGGTCCGGTCGTGTGTGGCTCCGGCCAGGCCTGAGTCTGTGTCTGTTTATTTATCATGGTCCCAAATGGCAAATTTGCATGTTTTAGTCTGTGAGCAGCTTTAACTGCATTTGTACAAACTGTGTTCACAGATATTGACCCATGGAAGTGTTCCTGAGCCCAAACAGGGAGTCCCACAATCTGCCTGATTTGTACCTTTGCCCTTTACTCATTTCAATTCCTTGCCAAATGTTCACTCCAAATGTTATTTTTTAAATTGCACTATTTTATATAATCTTTTTTTAATTTTTTTTTATAAATGTTCTCATTCAAATTAAAATGTTATACTTTTAAACAAAAAGTTAAATATGATATATATTTTTTATCTAACTGTTTGCCTTATTGTTAATAAAATGTATCAAAATCGAGATTTAAAAAGCTTGCATGTTGTTTTCATTTTCCATATAACAATTATCTGGCACGGAAATGAACCATACAAATCTGTAAAGTTGATTCTTTATTCCACTTTAGTTCACAATGGCTACCTTTTTTTGCTCTTTCATGTGAGCATGTTTGGCACATTCACTCCAGATCTTCCCTGCGACACCTCCAGACCAATGGGCTAAAAGGCCTCACCTCAATGGGTCGAGTTAAACGGTTACATTTCAATGTTGTGTAGGGACTATACGAGATGTTTGTATAATCACTGATTTTGATAATGCCTTTTAATAACGAGACATGAATTAATCCCACATGTAATGTATTGCTGTTCTCTGTGAACTCTTGAACTCTTTCAAGGTACCTCTGAATTAATTCATGAGTCTCTCTAATGAATTCATTAATGAACTAATGGGTGAAGTCATCTAAATCTTAAAGGAATAGGCCACCATTTTTACATACTGACATATGTTCTTACCTTACCTTAGACTAGTTGATATGTACCTGTCTGGTCTTTGTCCATGCGCTCTGTCATGCAAACGGAGCAAAAACGATTCCTCTTCCACATACTGTATAGTTCCAAATCACCTCCCGTTAGAAGCTACCAAACTCTACCCGGTGTTCCCTATTTAAATACAGTTACGTGACGTGTTACACTACAAAGTATAGTAACACAGAAATGTAACATGTCGATTTTCTCAGTGGATAAGAAGGGGTACTATATTGTGAGGCGTAACAATACGAGGAGCACTTCGTCCGCGCACTAACTCCTAACGACTTCTCTCCCACTCACGCTGCTTCTATTGACGGAAGTGAAACACGTCACGTAACTGTATTTAAATAGGGAACACGTGGAAGAGTTTGGTAGCTTCTAACGGGAGCTGATTTGGAACCATACAGTCTGTGGAAGAGGCTGCGTTTGTGCTCCGTTTGCATGACAGAGTGCACGGACAAAGACCAGACAGGTACAGTACATATCAACTAGTCTAAGGTGAGGTAAGAACATATGTCAGTATGTAAAAACGGTGCCCTCTTCCTTTAATATACATTTTTTAGAAAATGTATAAATTGCACATATACAACTTGTGTGTGTAAATGACAAGAAAAAACAATACATTCATTCATGGAGTTTAGTTATTGTTCATTCACGCATTGTAACAACATTCTTACAAGGTGAGTTGCATTGTTCATTCATTGCTTTGAATAAATGATTCAAATGATGATGATTGAAGATACTGCAGACTCAAAATAGTTTTTTTTTTTCTAGTCATGGTTGCGTACAAAACATGCACAACTTTTTCTATAGATCATTTAGCTGTTGTGTTAAAATGCAAAGAGGACTTTGGAGAAACTGCAGCTCTGACAGTAGCTGCAGCAGTAGTAGCATCATCTCTAGAGCCCGTAACTAAAGTTGAGCAGACACAGACAGACAGGCATTAACTTCCCTCCCATCCGTGGTCCCAGTGCAGACTGCTGATACCCCCGATACCTCCAGTAGACCCTGCTTTACATTCACCCTCCATCTCCAGAGCCAGCCGCCAGAGATCTAGCTCAGAGAGAGAGAGCGAGCAGCGGAGACCAAACCATATCTGATATATCACACTTTTTCCCTCTATCTCCCAAACTTTCTCACTTTCTCACTCCCCGCCTGCTTGATCCGTTTCTAAGGCTGCCTCTGCTGAGATTTCCTCTCCTCCGCAAGGCCCCGTTCTCTTTTAACCCGGCATCTGAGGCTGTATGTAAACACGGCCGCTTGTAAACAGCAGTCTGGGCCTGTCCCGCCGCAGTCCAATACTGTGTGCATTTGTGTGTGAGCGTGTGTGTGTGTGATATCTGGTCTGAGACACTGAGGAGCTGCAGACTTGAAGGGCCTTTATCTGATTTTTGTAGTCTTAAAAACATTCAAACAAGTGGTTCAATTTTTAAACATTTGCAGTTGTAGAAGGTTAATGAATAGGTACCCAACTTTCAAACCACAGATACTTAATCCATCCAACTATAGTCCCTGGTTCTCAAGATATTGGAACACTTCTTTCCACTTGTATGTATTTTGGGCCTCTGTTACATGTACTTATTTATTTTGATGTGACCGTGTATTAATGAACGGCAGGTGCTGTAAATACACTAGATGGTAGCTATGTTGCTATTATCCAAATGTAGTACCACCGTCATACTCATTCAACCCTCGCCAGTTGTACATGTAGGGGAAACCGGCGTACCCAGAGGAAACCTACACAAGGAGCATATGAAAACTCGACAAAGAAAGGCCCTGTCTGGAGGTGGAAAATGAACCCAGGACCTTCTTGCTATTAAGCTCTAGTTCTATCTACTGCACCACATACAGTACAGACCAAAAGTTTGGACACACTTTCTCCTTCAATGAGTTTCCTTTCTTTTCATGACTATTGACTGTAGATTCACACCCAGGCTGTTTAAGGGCTGTTTGATCAATAAGGAGAGTGGTGGGTGCTGGACCAGATGACCTGGCCTCCAGTCACCGGACATGAACCCAATCCAGATGGTTTTGGGGTGAGCTGGACCACAGAGTGAAGGCGAAAGGGCCAACTAGTGCTAAGCATCTCTGGGAACTCCTTCAAGACTGTTGGAGACCATTTCTGGTCACTACCTCTTGAAGCTCATCAAGAGAATGCCAAGAGTGTGAAGCAGTAATCAGAGCAAACGGTTCTACTTTGAAGAACCGAGAAAATAAAGACATATTTTCAGTTGTTTCATACTTCTTTAGTACGTACATAATTCCACATGAGTTCATTCATAGTTGTGATGCTTTCAGTGTGAATCTACAATTTTCATAGTTATGAAAATAAACTCTCGATTGATTATTGATTTCTGTTTATAAGCTTGAAATAAAATGCAATCAATTATTCAATGAGAAGGTGTTTTCAAACTTTTAGTCTGTACTCTATATCAAGAGAGGATTGCCCTCACATCAGCTCGTTGTGTAAAGTCAGATAGTGACACACAAGGCAAACAAAATGTATTGATTAATCTATCTTTTATCATGCAATGTCATTCATGTTCTGCATGATGTTTTTTTCACATAGTGTATTTATGACACCAGCTCAAATTGGGCTGTGACAGTATTGTTGGCGCGAGTTTGTCCAAGTTAGAAACAAACGTAACGCTGAGCCGACTGAGACAATGTGTTTAAAAAGACAGAAAATGAGCTTCTTAGAACCTCTGGCTGGATAAAACAGGTCAATAAATCCCATTCGCCACCTAAAAGGGATTGCTCAAGTCCATCTATTGAACTGAAAGAATTTTGGTTCTTTAACCGAGCAACTGCATTTCAAAAGTTTCACTAATTTCACTTGACTTCAATCTTATTAGTTATTCTGTTTTAATAGTCAACATAATTAGATAGTTGTTGCATTTATGTTTCCCTCAATATATCCACAAAGCACAGAACAGATTTTCCACATGCAAATGAATACGTTCATATTCTAAGTAGTCTTGTGTTTTTTAATTGTTTCATTCATGAACAAAATAAAAATCTCATTCTTCACATAATGATAATGGTTACAATATATAATTTAAGTATTTACATTAATGGAAAGGACCAGAAAAGAAGATTACAATTCTTAAATTTGTCTGCCCCTTTTCAATATTGTCCAAACATGTGATGATCTTCTGACTTTCCCCCAGGGCAATTTCCACCAAAGAAAAAAGACAAATATGCATATATTTCAAACAATGCAACCAATCCCACTCAAAGTTCATGATTCAATTTTAAATGTTGTATTTAGAAAAAAAATTAAATATATTATGAATGTTTTATTCCATTTTCCTGAGAATTCCAATCTGTTCTAAGCACATTTTTCTGGAATTTGTTCTAATGTTGTTTGTGCAAACTGTTGTTTAAAGTCCTAGAAGAGGTTTGACTTTATGAGTGATCATATAAACAGGTCTCTAAAATAAAATGATCAGTAATAAGTAGAGGTGCACCGATCGATCGGTGTATGATTATTATTGGCCGATCACGGCTTAATCGGTGAATCGGTGAAATGTGCCGATCAAAAAGACCGATCAGATGACATGAGGATTCATGCGCACAAGTTACTTTCTCTCGTCAAAATTGCGTAAACAAGCAACTCATGCAGCTATCAGTTACGGAGATTCTACAGCGGCAACAACCATACATGACGGTAAGAAACAAAACAAAATATGCACGAAAGTTATGGAATTTTTTCCCCTCTGCCACCAGCCCTTGTCTATCGTGGAAAGTGCTGCGTTCAAACGACTCATGTCCACTGCTTCGATATGCCATCACAGAAATATCTGACTGATGTCTGCCGGCCGCAGCTTTACCAAACTGAATATTCTCGCATTGACACTCCAAGACCAGCCAGAGCATGGATCTATTATAATAACGAGCCAGAGTCACACCGCGCAGACACCGAACACACTCAGCAGCGAGATGCTGAACTCATCCCGTGTCGGGACTTTGCAAGTTATGTTCACAGACATGTTGGATTAAGATGAGTGTAGTCATAGTACAGACAGTCCTACAGTGTCGCAGATGCAGCGTTACTTCCTCGGAGCGGACAGCCGCTTAGCCGCTTGTTTATTGAAAGGAAAATAAAAGGCGCTTCCCTGCTTTGGCCAAAGCAGCGAAGCTTTCCTCTGCGCTCCATGTACATGTGTAGACAGAGAGCGGCTGTTTTCGCAGCAGGACTATTCAAGATGATAAACGTAATAATCTCTCCCCTGCAAATGCTGAGATGCTAATATTACTGAAGAAAAAACATTGCCTTAACTATCTATTTTTAATCCGTTTAGAAATGCAACCTATACAGTATTGTTGTATTTCATATTATTTTTTTTGTAATTTTTTTTATGTATTTCAATGCTCTGTAACGTATACTTATGGTTCCCAACCTTTTTGTCTTAAGTATCCGAGGGCATTTTATTTATACTACCTAGTACCTTGATGGTTTTTAAAGATTACTTTTAAAGTGAATAACTAGTCCTATTCATTTATCACTAAAAATATAAATATTGGATCGGATCGGCAATGATCGGTATCGACAGATCAACATTTTAATGATCGGTGATGGGTAATCGGCCGATCGGTGCACCTAGTAATCAGTATTTTTCATCACAATTTAGATACAACTTGTAGAGCACAGACTACCACCTGGAGGCCGTTCTTCTTCAATGGGCCAAACAACCGTTGATGATCATTTTACCCACTGAGTGGGTAAAAATAGCACCCACATTTTGTGAATGTTGCACTCCTAAAAAGGATACCACGACCCATTTTGGGGTCCTGTCCCACTAGTTGAGAACCTCTTGATCTAGCACAACTCATATTAACCCGTCCATGAGCTGACGGTAGATGTTTTTGGCTGTAAATATAAATGTGCACTTTATTGTCCCCGTAGGGAAATTTGTCTTCTGCATTTGACCCATCCTGATGACACTAAGGCTTACGTCAGCAACAGTGGTCTGCGTAGTAACAGCGCCCGGGAACCCATCTCCAGATGTTGATGCTCGGCTTGGTCAGGACCATAGACTGTAAAAATGGACAGAGTCACGCCTATCTCCGCCATTCTAACAAATGGGCCAAAAATAGTGCTACTGGAGCTATCCAAAATGGCAGCGAGTGGTCCCGCCCACAAGACAATTTTGAAAAAACGCCTCTGTGCATGCGTAAGCCGGCGCAGCTCCATTCTTTAGAACGAGAGACTTAAAAAATTCACAGCGAGTAAACTAGAGTGGTCCAAAAATATTCACTCCCTCAGCATTGACACACATGTGGAACGGAGCTTTGGGCCAAGAGCAGACTTTTGGACCATCCTGTAAAGACGTTTTCAGGAGGTCTGCCAATGCTATATGTTAGCATTGGCTAATTCTTATTCCGGGTCCACCCCCATCGCCCTGGGCGCACGTCATTTTGGCCACTTTTGAGCCGGGACCCGCCCCCACTGGTCAGGACTACTTATACCTAGTGAGCATATTTTTAGTGACAAAGACCTGGCCAATTAAATTTCCTCTTTGCAACACAGATCAAATAAATATTATAATAAAAATTCTCTATCAACTTCTGAAACTTGCCACAAAATTGAACAGCATGCATCAATCTGTTTTAGTGGTTTTTGACACCTTGTTTTTTGCAAGGACAGCTGCACAAAAGTATCTTTCTGACTGCTGGGGTAGTCTTGATGTTCTTTTTTCTGTTTTTGAACCTAACATGCTAACTAAATGCTAGCAACTAAGAACCTACATTAAAACTCATACTGAGTAATTGACACAAGTTTTCTCAAGTTGCACACATTTTGCTGCTAATCCTGAGAAACACTAATATGTTTCCATACACTCTGCCAGACTGGATGTCTTTATTGGACTAAAAATGTCCTCTAAGCAGGACATGCCTCCTTTTAGTTGCAAACGCTTCTTTGTTTGCTCAGCCTCGAACACAATCCCTTTTAAATACCGTTTTAAGGCCCAATCAATACCTTATCCCTCAGCGGCTCCAACTCTTTTTTTTTTTTCTTTTTTTTTTCTTTCCATTTGTCTGAGCTTTCCAGTCCCTGAGCAGGAGAGAGTTGGTCTGAGGATACGCCACAACTTTACTATTCCCTGCCATATGTGTGCAGTTTGCGTGTGCGTGTGTGTATAGTATATAGATATTCATGATGTTGTGTTGTTTTATTCAGATATTTGCAGATGCTCCGGAGTCGTGCCTGCCCTCACCTGAGCCCGTTTTCACCGCCCCCACGCGCCAGTCCAAGAAGCTGAGTCGGCAGAGCAGGCCACTGGCAGTTTACAACCCACAAGTCCTGGATATACAGGACGGTGAGGAGCTGATGTATATAAGTATAAGTATATAGTGAGTGCAACCATTCAAGGGTTTGGTGCTTATAGAATGTAGTCTTCACCTGTTTAACTTGAATAGGCCAGTGTTCCCTTAACCTTTTATGAAACGAACCAAAGGGCACAATACAATTTATTCTTGTATAGCCCTAAATCACAACAGCAGCAATCTCAGAGGACTTAACAAAATCATTTAAAACATTATTTTAAAATATATTATAACATGAAACATTGTAGCCTGGTCGTACCACACCATAGTACGAATTACATTTCGTATTGAGGTCTGCACAGGCTCCATTGAGCTCCGTTAACAGATAGGAGGGCTTTTGCAGATTGAAACAATTGGATCTGAGTTTACTGTGACGTATGTAGTGCGTCCGAGTTTGTTGTTAGCATTTAGCATTTAACCAAGCCATCTCTTTTGCCGCTAACGAAGCCCGTGGGGACATTACCCTTGCTCCGGCTTAAATTTCTTGATAGAACCAGACCGGATTACTTTACTATCGCATTTTTCGCCATTGCCAAACTACAACCTGCCCGTTCGACGCAAACTCTTGACATCACCCACAACTAACTACGACACCCGCCTTCCGCGCTCTCTGAATGGTCGGTCGAAATTCAAGCGATTGTAATCGCTAACACAGGGACCAGATCCAAACGTTACATGCAGTGAAATGATGAGTGAACGGAGTGTACGGATGGCTAAGGCCAGGCTAGAAACATTGCAGTATATTATAGAACCAAAGAAGTGCCAAAGTTGCTATCTTTTCAAATGTTTAGACTAGGGCTGTCAAAATTATCGCGTTAATGCACGTTAATAAGAAAAACTCATTAATCGGGTAAAAAAAATTAACGCATTTGACACATTCCCATGCGTCCCATAATAACACTTCAGAATGGGGGCAGAGCAGGTAGGCCCTCTGGGGATTCAAGTTTTGAAAGAATACACGCGTGACCGCGAAGCACTTGTAGTTTCCTGTATGAACTCTGCAGGATGAGCTGCGGGCGCCACAGCGCTCTGGACAGCAGCACCACTTCCAGCGGCTGTGATCACGGCGAACGGCGCTGCGTAATGTGATCATATCCAAGCCTCAGTCTCCTCCGTGTCTTCTCCCGAAGCGCACTCGCTAAATTAAAGCTGAGGTACCTAATTTTCCTTTCGACTACCAGTTCATGTTAGCTGTGCCAAAAAAAGTAATGGTGTGAAAAAATCAAACAGATTTAATGACATTCTGCATTTCAGACTATTTTCAGACTATTTGAAATGTCCCTCATCTGTAACAAACAATGGTTTTGGTCTGAGTCTAAACAGAAAGACAGAATGTTAATAATGTTAATTCCATTTTATATGGTTTTATTGTTATAACAAACAAATACAGTACATATGTTCACAAAGCTGTCATTTATCTTTCCATTCAAACAACCATTTACAGAAAAATATGGCATAATTTTGCCAGTAGTTTGAAATGTGATTAATTACGATTAATACATTTTTAAGCTGTAATTAACTCGATTAAAAAAATTAATCGTTTGACAGCCCTAGTTTAGACCAAAGAGGTAATATTGGATAATTGTCAAAGGCACACCAAACATCTCACGGAACACTGGTTGAAAAACACTGGAATAGGCTACTGCATTTAATTAAATGTTATTGTTTTACATGTACAACTCATATTTGACCTTTTTTGGAACCTATTTATTTAGGGATTTTGTGTTTGAAATGTGTGTTCTCTAGAGCGGGGCCATATGGCTAAAATAGAAGAAAATATGAGAAGAAAACATAGCAATACAATTTACACAACAAATACTACTAGAAAAAATGATCCAAAAACTGTATTTGTCACCCATGTATAGGTTTTTGCTGTACTTAATATTCACTTTTTTATTGTATTGTGTGCTCCCGTTACTATTCTTGAACTTGTGATGCAACACTGGAATTTCCCCACTGTGGGACGAACAAAGGATCTCTTAAACTTGATCAATATACATATTTTGTAATTGATATTTACTTACAAATCTCATAATTAGTTGTTCATAGATTCAACACCAGAAAGTTTGATAATTTGGGTCTCTTCTCTTGCCAACTTGTAAAATATAGCAAACCTCCCATTATTTCCTAAAAGTGTTTGCCTTTCCTCAGTATTCCCCCCCGAGTTTCATGAGTTCTGCGCCGATCTGCAGGAGCGCATTATTCTGAACAATTCCGAGCTCAACATAAGTGCTGCCTGTTTCGACGGCAGTTTGATTTATGCGCTCCCCGGTTGAAGCCGCTTCGCCTTATGTATTGATAAATTATTCACATGTGTCTTATCAGGCAATAAGCTCTCATCCCTCCGCTCAACTAGGCCACGTTTTCTACTACACTGTAAAGAAACGTGGAACCCGGCGTCATTCCCAACTAATGTCACCACGAGGAGCCTTTTTTGGATTTGACGAAATTGCTAGAAATTTGATACTGTCCAGGTGAAACTCAGAAAAGTAGAATGATATAAAATCAATTTGCTTCTGTAATTCCACTTAACATTTGAAACTTATTGGATGAGACGTATTACATGAAAAGAGAGATCAAGCCTTTGTTATAATGTTGAAAATTATGGACCCCAAAATTTGAGGGCTGAAACAACTAATCGATTAATCGACGACTAATCGATTATTGAAATAGTCGACAACTATTTTAGTAATTGATTAATCGTTTTCTGGTTCACACGGACTCAAACAGAGTAAAAATGACATGAAAATGTAGTATTTTTGATTAAAACCGACTTTGTTTTTATAATTTCATGAATATCTGTCTGTCTCATCCAATCAGAGCAGAATTAGCACAAAGAGCCAGTTACAAACATTTACTTTAAGTTTACGCCATCAATACGTCCTCGAGTGTTGCCACTTTAGCTTTTTGTGATGAAAAAATATTTTTTTTCTACACAATTCACAGCCAAGCAATTACTCGATTAATCGTAAAAATAATCAATAGATTAATCGATTACAAAATAATCGTTAGTTGCAGCTCTACAAAATTTAGAATATATGGAAAAGTAACTTGGTCATAATCATAAAAATGGTAACCAATGAAGGCTTGACTTGGTACTTTGCATGTAATGAGACTATAACATATATTTATTTCACATTTAAGTTAAATTACCATTGTTGCCAAGATAATTATTGAACAGAACAGTTATTTGAATGCAGGAATACATGTCATGGTCACCTGAGCAAAGGGGAATGAATCAAAACCTCTGGGTCATAGAAATATCCCCACAAAAAACAATAGAATTATGGGAGGGCTAAACAAATGAAAGATTTTTAGAAAAATATGGGTTTTTTTTTTTTTTAAAGAAGTGTAGATACATTTTGTGGATTATTGATTGGTTTAGTGTAGTATTTTCATTATTTATGAATGAATATAAATATAAAATAAATATGGGTGACAGTGGCTCAGTTTGTGGAGAAATGGCCTTTGGGCCTGAAGGTTGTGGATTCAAGCCCACCACGAGACCTACTTTCCGACTCCTGCTGTTGTTGTGTCCTTGGGCAAGACACTTAACCCTACTTTGCCTGAAGCCCCCACTGAAAGATCTCAGCTCCTGTGGACTCACCACCTGCAGGAGGATCAGTGAGGGGCTGGTGCTCTGTGTACTGGGTGCAGCTCTGACTGCCACCCCCCCTCGACCTAGAAATGGATTAAGGGGAAGAAAATGGATGGATGGATGGATGGATAAAATAAATACATATTTCAATATTAAGTGATAACATGTACATTTATCTATATTATGTCAGAGTTTCACAGATTGCAAACATATGCATGAAGCAGAGAAAACTTCTCAATCATTCTTCAATTAATAGAATGGACCAAAAATCTGGTTCGTTTGGTCAAATGGGTTTACAGACAAAAAGCCTTTATATTTTTGAATCGTATCAAATCATTTGGAAATATACTGTGTTAAATTGTGTCTGCTTAATACATAGGCCACGATACAATACATACAGAGATTGTATCGACAACCTCTCACAGATACCCGGCCTTATTCCCTTCTGTCTTTGCTAGACTTGTAATAATGTCTTTGTTTCTGTAGTGTCTCCAGTGGTGGACAGCTCAGTGGTTCTGGCCTCAGATGAGACGTCGATGGGCAGCAATGAGTCCATGTCTTCACACTCCTCCTCAGAGACCCCCGCAGACAAGAGTGACCACATCGCCCTGTGCTCCACCCTAAGCTCTGGCAACAACTTAAAGTAAGTCAGAGGCATTCACTAATCTATCCATATGACAATAAGGCATGTGGTGTTCTTGGTTTTTATCATTAGAGGCCACAAAATTACTGATCCATCCATCTTCTCTCCAATTTCTTCTACTTTTTCTGTTGCTGGGTCACTTCCTCCACCTCCCTCTCTCTAAGGGAGAGCCTGGCCATGCGTAGAGAATTTAAAAATGTATCCGCGATCTTGTTCTTTCTGTCATCTGAAATGTATGGGTCTGAATTTAGACTTACTTTAAAATCTATTTATGAAGTTACTTTTTGATACAACTTACTTGAGAAACTAAAGACATTTTTTTTCAAAAACTGTTTTCTATTTTCAAACTATAAAATTTAACCGCCTTGGGGAGATCTCAAATGTGCAGTTCCTACAAGGCAGCCCAGTTTTGCCAAGAAGAAGGTGCAGCTTTACCATAAGAGAGGATAAAGAATTAGCGGGATGGAGAATTCTAATCAGTTTCAGAAGAATTGTTTCTGTTTTTTATTATAATTTTAAAATGGGAAACATGCTGTATTTGACATTCAATGGCTTCACACAACAACTAACAATGAGTGAGAAAAAAAACAAAATATAAGATAAGATAAGATAAGAAAAACCTTTATTAGTCTCACAGTGGAGAAATTTCAGTGTCATCGTTGCGTACATTACAGCAGAGAAAGGAAATAAGAGCACTCAGATTGCACACATCAAAGAAGTGTAGATACATTTTGTGGCTGATCATTTTCATTTTTGCCTGGGTGTTTAAGTGTAAGCACAATGTACTGTGTATATGGACAATAGTGTCTTATGTGTTTTATACATAAGACACTATACAAGCGCCAAAAGTAAGATGGTATTTAACACTTTTATATCTACACCTTATTGAGGAAGTTTAAAGCGTCTTCAAAAACAGACTTGGTTTGATTCCTGATTGACGAGGTTAAACAGGTTTGCTCAAATATTTATTCAAGATCTTAAAAGATTATTGAAGAAGATGACAAAGTCTGGGATCGTGTCTTTAATTCAGACAGAAGACATGTTTTATTGTTGATGGTAGACGCACGAACACGAACAAAATGCAAGTGGTAATCAATCAATCAATCAATCTTTATTTATAGGGCGCTTTTCCTGCACAGGGCAACACAAAGCGCAAAGCGTAATATACAGCAGGAGAAACGGAGACCTCCAATCAGCAGCTGCCACGGTGCCAGCAGCTTCAACCTTGAGTTAACCAAAACAATGGATGAGTACTGGCTTCTGCATATGTTAGAATGATGAGAACTTTAACCACAGTTGCTTCAAAGTGTAATGAAATACCTAAATTATCTTCCATCATTCTGTCAACAACAATGTTCCAAATGCAACACATTCTTTTAATTCAGTCCAGAAAGATTTTAGTAAAACTTTAGTAAGTACTGTAAAAGCTAAACTCCTACAGTTGCAGAAGATGAAATGGAAAATTCAAAGAATCCAATAAATCCAAATATTTAACCAAGTAAGTTATAGACTTTCAAATTCATTTTGGTCGGGGCTGAATTTGAAAAGCAATAGCTGGTCAGGGGCCGAAACTATAAAAACTATAAAAGTGGTTTTCTGAGTAGAAAGTTACTGGAAGAAATACATTTATTTGTTGACATTATGAAGGCATTTTGACAAAGTTATTACCTTTTGTCTGATATTTCTTTTGGATAATTCTCAACAAAATGAGTTCAGTTACAGATTCAACTGAGTCCCCCGAGTCCCATGTGTGAGCCGAGGTATTAGTGTCATCTCAAGAAAAGAAATGGATTAAAAAAACAAAACAAATATATTGTCCATTGTCAACCCCTAAAACAATGTAAACATTTGTTTTGTTTTTCTTCTGTCCATTAGATACATACAATCAGACCTGTCTGTTTTAAACCAGGATTTATATTTCATCTTGTCATTGAAGTCTGTATCAAACTAAACTATGCCTTTTCAAGCATACCACATTTTAGTTATAACGTTTGTTTTACATTTATTTATCATGCAAGCATTTAATTCTGAAGACAATTTATTAAAACCTTCATTTCTAAACCAAATTTAAAAAATCTGTTTTTTCTTTTTCATGTTAATACTAGTAACTATAAAATACTTTCATTATTTCCAGATCAGATGAAAAAATGGGATTGTCTAATCTACTATAATGGCAAGAATATCCTTCCTAAACTAATAGTTACACAAAATTGACATTTATTTTTGACAATGATGAGAGTGAGCTGAGAAGTCTGCTTGGCCCTCTCCCGTCCTCTCCGTCTCTTGTCCTTGGTCCGTTTTGTTGTTTCTATCCCTGGACATGTCTCGAATGCTGATGTGAAAGATGAATTATCAGGTTATTCGGCAGATGTTAGACTCTGCTGCGTCATGTCTCCAAAATCACCTTGAAAATGGAACTTGGATATTTTTACACACACATTGTCCTACTTGCCTCTCTACATTAGCTAAAGGCACACTATTGCGGCATTTGCACTGTACAGTATTAAACTGCCTACATCAGGAAGATGTCTTAGTTATTTTTAGGCATATTTTTAAATGAATGTAATTGTAAAAGAGAGACAGGGGTTCTCCAAGAGGTTGTCACTGGACTGGAAGTTATTTTATATTTTTTAATTCAACCTAAAATAGAACAAAAGAATTGGATTTTTGGACTGAATGAAACACTTTCAAATTAAAAAAGATACAAATTCAAATCGTCAAATTTGAAAAATATAATCTTGCTTGAATGAAATCAAAATGCACAAGATGTCAGGTGGAAATCCAAGAAGTGTTTCTCTGCTTGTAGTTTATATCTTCTAATAGAAATCGTTATTCTGCTTCTCTCAACTTTTACTTTTTTTTTACTTCAGAATTCTGAATTGTTTTTATATGTTCCAATATGTATACAAGGATGCAAGTGTTCAAATATAGTATATCCAAATACTGCCATTTGGACATAAAATACCAAAGGCAGTAAATTGTTGTTCCAGAACTATATCTCCATGCACTGCCAGAGCAGAGTAACACATTCTCTCTCTTGTCTGTTTGAGAAATGACAATAAATTATGGTCTCATCTCGTAAAGCAGCAAATAAATCCAGTCGCAATTCAGTAGGAACATGTACAGTATATCAAAACCCAGTCATAAACCATGTCTTTACTGACTGTACTCATCGACACCACCTTAGAGTTCCATTTACATCCTTTTCTTTTGTTAACTCACATTACCTTAAAATTAGTCCATATTTATTTATTTTACAGCACATATTTACTCCAGTTAGTGTAGATTACTGGGAACAAACATTGTAATACACTTTTGTTTTTGGGCTACACTTAAAGCTGTAGAACTGTATTTGCTAAATTTACCCAACTCTATCAAATATAGGTAACAATTATATCTATTTGTGTTAGTGAGTACTATTTTATAATGTATTTAATAAGGGGTATGTCAAACAACATTATCCTTTGCAGACCTGGTCTTTAAAATATTTTGCTCTCTGAAGGAGTATGCACTTGGCATGCTGACGGCATGAATGTTCACTGGAACTGAAGGTTGTGAACTGAATGTTTATTTCTACCATAAGAAGTTTTTAAAAGACCTTTCAGACACCTGCGTCACAACCATAGACCATGTGTAATCACATCAGAACCTCCACCTCTGCCTCGGTCACCTCCAAGACCCTCTGACTTTCAGAACCCGCCTCAGGGAAGGTCCTTTGCAACTTGTCTTCATCAGGGTCTCTGCTGCAGTTGTGGCCTTAAAGGAGCTATACCCCCCCCCCCCCCCCCCCAACTGACTCACAGGCTTCTCATTTCCCCTACGCTCTCATCCCACGAAGCCATTTAGTTTTATTTGTGATCTGATACATATGCAAACATTAGCATGAGCACAACTTCTTGTAAGCTGTACGACAATCACTGATGAAGTGGTACAAAAGCAACGCACTGATAACAAAATGTATAACTGAAAGATTACTGCTAGTTTTGCGTCCGAATGTAGTCAGAGGCGGTCCGCACCCTCAGTCTCTCCCATAGACTGCAAGTCTTTCCAGAGGATAAGATGTAAGCTAGCTATGTTCGCCGGGCTTGATTTCTTTGATTATTTTTTTGCTTTAGTTCCCTCTTCTCTTCCTCACTGTTGTGTCGTTTGGGCTGTTTTGCTGTGTCTGCAGTTACAGCAAGAGGAGTTATAGCCAATTCTGCTAACATGCTACCTTGTTAACCAGTTCAATAAAATTACGGATTTTAATACAACTTGCATGCAGTAATAAGCATTTTTATGAACTCATTAGAAAATCAATCGGATATTCTTGGGTTTCATTAAACTGGCCACTAGGTGCGAATGAGCAGAAGTGGGACAACTCAGTTTTGCTCCCATTGAAAACCATGTAAATCTTGTCTGTTTTTGAGTCAAAAGGCTCTCATCCTGTGCGGTGTACAGTTGTTGCAACAGTCTTAATCGGGAGGGGGACACTCAATTCTAAGGGAGTACTAAAAAATATTCCTTAAAAGAGTCTTGATTTTGGGCATTTTTGGAAAGAAAAACAGAAGAAATTGCAGCGTTTCATTTGGGTGGCCTGCAGGGGGCGCTTATCTGTGACTCCTGGCCTCCATTATGCATTAGTCCTTTTGTATCCTATATTGTAGTCTTCTACTGCATGGTGTCTGTGTGCACATTCCCACATATGGTTCATCATGTTGGGGCAGCGGAAGCACTGACCAGCAGGGGGGTGTAAATCTCAGGGCTGATTTGTTTGGGAGGCAGGTGGCTCAGAGTTGGCTCAGTAAATGTTATTGACATTGTGGGAGATTCATCTTGTTTACCGTATAGTCCTTTATGAACACTAGTACCATATGTCACTGTGGTGTCAGTCTGGCTCTGTTCACTTGTAAATCTCAATGTTTAGAGCGAGGCATTTTGGACCAGGCCATGACAGTAGATCAAAGAATGGGCATGGAAAAAAAAAAAACAGTATAATATGCTCTTTTGGAAATCTTTTA